TGTCACTACCCTTATCAATGAATCTCTGGTATACATACCCAAACTTTGGAAGACTGCAAAATTCGTACCTATCCATAAAAGTGGTATCTATCGCCCAATATCATTGCTCCCTGTATTGTCAAAAATCTTGGAAAAATGCGTCCACATGCAACTATACGATAAAATGATCTGGCCCCTGATCAATCAGGCTTTCGTCCAAATCACACAACTTTAACTGCCCTCTTAAAAGTTTGCAATGACATCCAAATTGGCATGGAACAAATAGAGTTACCTGGAGCTATTTTCCTTGATTTTGCCAGGGCCTTTGACACAGTAGACCATGGCATTCTTTTGCAAAAACGTAAAAAATCAGGCCTTGGTTATAGTCTGCTAACCTGGTTTCGATTGTATGTTTCAGAACGATTGCAATATGTGGCCATTTCTGATAGCACTTCTCTCCCTCTTCCAGTCATGTGTGGTGTTCCCCAAGGCTCCATACTCTGCCCCCTGCTATTCACATTATTTATAAATGATCTGCCAAATGTCTGCAAATCCGCAACTGTACACATGTATGCAGACGATACTGTAATCTACGCTAGTAAAACCGAGCTACCGCAGCTTGAGGCTGTGCTCAGTTCACAGAGGTAGAAAAGTGGATAGCGGATAACAAACTCTTCCTAAACACTGACAAAACTGTTACAATGATCTTTGGAACTGTACCTAAATTACGTAAACTACAAAATCAACAATTGTGTATCAGAACAAATTCAAATAGCACACTGACAGCAGTCTGCTCTTTTAAATATCCAGGTATATTGCTAGACCCCAATCTTTCCTTTGGCCTTCACATTGAAATAATCTTTTCAAAACTTTACCCAAAACTAGGTGCACTGTACAGAAACAAATCCTGCCTAAGCCCTACAGTAAGGAAACAGTGCAGCAAATGCTAATGACGGTCATTGATTATGGGGATGTAGTGTATGCACCCGCACCGCAAACCCACCTTAATATGTTATATAATTCGTTCAACCGCTTTGTGCTAGAATGTAATTACTTTACCCATCACTGTGGATATGGATTTCTGCACAAACTGGCATTTAAAAAAAAAAATAAACTAAAAGATTACTTTATCACTGTCTATGCATATTTTATTGTTCTTTCTACCCGTAAACAAATGTCTTTCTTTAGTGTATGTCCTGCTTTAATGTTGGTGTGGAGACGTCCATCTTTGTTTAGTTTTTTTTTGTTGTTTTTAACAGAAGCACCATTAATCTGACAATGCTTTAAATTCCTTTTTGTAGTTTTTTTTTTTCTGACAGTGTTTATTTTTTACTTGGACCTATATAATAAGCCAATCTAAACTATATCAGGCATTGTACGGATTTCTGTGTTTACAATTCTACACAGACTATTAAAGAGGAGCCTGAAAGCTAACTGGGTTTATTTCAATTGTCAGAATAACCATTAATTGTCTGGTTAGGTGATGGAAGTCTCCAGAACATTATTAGTGCGTGTATATTTGTGTGGTAATGTGCACCTGTATGTGTGGGTGGCAGTGTATGTGAACACACATCTAAATGCAAAAACACCAACATCACACACAAACACCCCCCTGCATTCAAACCCTAACACTACACACAAACACTGACACTACAGAAAGAACCCCCCTAGAATCAAACAACAATGTACACAAAAACATTAAAATACTAACTTAAACTAAAAAAATACTCCTGTATTCAAACGCCAACACTACACACATACAACCCAGCATCATAACATCAGCTAACTACACACATACTGCATACAAAAAATCATGTCTATATTCACGCACACAAGCACTGCACACACATACAAGGATAGGCAAATGGTAGATCTACAGCTGATAAAGCATCGTCTGAGTTGTACGACAGTTGAGATCTGCCTCTTGGGTACCCGGTCATTTCTATATTAGTTTCAACACTAAATCTGTCCATAGTGACCTGTGGAATAGTTAAAATGTTGGCACAGGCCAGGGTGCCAGATGGTGCTGGTGTACAGAAGAGGCAGCTCATATCCAAACATGATAACCTAATATAACATAGGAATATTATTTCTTTATATATAAAATATTTTACCAGGATGGATACATTGATATTTCTCTTGTTTTAAGTATGTCCTGGGTTCACAAAACATTGCATTGTTACAATAGGATACAATATTACAAAAATACAATATACAAACTATAAATACAGTTGCAAGAAAAAGTACGTGAACCCTTTGGAATGATATGGATTTCTGCACAAATTGGTCATACAATGTGATCTGATCATCATCTAAGTCACAACAATAGACAATCACAGTCTGCTTAAACTAATAACACACAAAGAATGAAATGTTGCCATGTTTTTATTGAACACACCATGAAAACATTCACAGTGCAGGTGGAAAAAGTATGTGAACCCTTGGATTTAATAACTGGTTGAATCTCCTTTGGCAGCAATAACTTCAACCAAACATTTCCTATAGTTGCAGATCAGACGTGCACAATGGTCAGGAGTAATTCTTGACCATTCCTCTTTACAGAACTGTTTCAGTTCAGCAATATTCTTGGGATGTCTGGTGTGAATCGCTTTCTTGAGGTAATGCCACAGCATCTCAATTGGGTTGAGGTCAGGACTCTGACTGGCCCACTTCAGAAGGCGTATTTTCTTCTGTTTAAGCCATTCTGTTGTTGATTTACTTCTATGCTTTGGGTCATTGTCCTGTTGCAACACCCATCTTCTGTTGAGCTTCAGCTGGTAGACAGATGGCCTTAAGTTCTCCTGCAAAATGTCTTGATAAACTTGGGAATTCATTTTTCCTTCGATGATAGCAATCCGTCCAGGCCCTGACGCAGCAAAGCAGCCCCAAACCATGATGCCCCCACCACCATACTTCACAGTTGGGATGAGGTTTTGATGTTGGTGTGCTGTGCCTTTTTTTCGCCACACATAGTGTTGTGTGTTTCTTCCAAACAACTCAACTTTGGTTTCATCTGTCCACAGAATATTTTGCCAGTACTGCTGTGGAACATCCAGGTGCTCTTGTGCAAACTGTAAACGTGCAGCAATGTTTTGTTTGGACAGCAGTGGCTTCCTCTGTGGTATCCTCCCATGAAATCCATTCTTGTTTAGTGTTTTACGTATTGTAGATTCGCTAACAGGGATGTTAGCATTTGCCAGTGACTTTTGTAAGTCTTTAGCTGACACTCTAGGATTCTTTTCACCTCATTGAGCAGTCTGCGCTGTGCTCTTGCAGTCATCTTTACAGGACGGCCACTCCTAGGGAGAGTAGCAGCAGTGCTGAACTTTCTCCATTTATAGACAATTTGTCTTACCGTGGACTGATGAACAGCAAGGCTTTTGGAGATACTTTTATAACCCTTTCCAGCTTTATGCAAGTCAACAATTCTTAATCGTAGGTCTTCTGAGAGCTCTTTTGTGCGAGGCATCATTCACATCAGGCAATGCTTCTTGTGAAAAGCAAACCCAGAACTGGTGTGTGTTTTTTATAGGGCAGGGCAGCTGTAACCAACACCTCCAATCTCATCTCATTGATTGGACTCCAGTTGGCTGACATCTCACTCCAATTAGCTCTTGGAGATGTCATTAGTCTAGGGGTTCACATACTTTTTCCACCTGCACTGTGAATGTTTACATGGTGTGTTCAATAAAAACATGGCAACATTTCATTCTTTGTGTGTTATTAGTTTAAGCAGACTGTGATTGTCTATTGTTGTGACTTAGATGATGATCAGATCACATTTTATGACCAATTTGTGCAGAAATCCATATCATTCCAAAGGGTTCACGTACTTTTTCTTGCAACTGTATTTATAGTTTGTATATTGTATTTTTGTAATATTGTATCCTATTGTAACAATGCAATGTTTTGTGAACCCAGGACATACTTAAAACAAGAGAAATATCAATGTATCCATCCTGGTAAAATATTTTATATATAAAGAAATAATATTCCTATGTTATATTAGGTTATCATGTTTGGATATGAGCTGCCTCTTCTGTACACCAGCACCATCTGGCACCCTGGCCTGTGCCAACATTTTAACTATTCCACAGGTCACTATGGACAGATTTAGTGTTGAAACTAATATAGAAATGACCGGGTACCCAAGAGGCAGATCTCAACTGTCGTACAACTCAGACGATGCTTTATCAGCTGTAGATCTACCATTTGCCTATCCTTGTATGTGTGTGCAGTGCTTGTGTGCGTGAATATAGACATGATTTTTTGTATGCAGTATGTGTGTAGTTAGCTGATGTTATGATGCTGGGTTGTATGTGTGTAGTGTTGGCGTTTGAATACAGGAGTATTTTTTTAGTTTAAGTTAGTATTTTAATGTTTTTGTGTACATTGTTGTTTGATTCTAGGGGGGTTCTTTCTGTAGTGTCAGTGTTTGTGTGTAGTGTTAGGGTTTGAATGCAGGGGGGTGTTTGTGTGTGATGTTGGTGTTTTTGCATTTAGATGTGTGTTCACATACACTGCCACCCACACATACAGGTGCACATTACCACACAAATATACACGCACTAATAATGTTCTGGAGACTTCCATCACCTAACCAGACAATTAATGGTTATTCTGACAATTGAAATAAACCCAGTTAGCTTTCAGGCTCCTCTTTAATAGTCTGTGTAGAATTGTAAACACAGAAATCCGTACAATGCCTGATATAGTTTAGATTGGCTTATTATATAGGTCCAAGTAAAAAATAAACACTGTCAGAAAAAAAAAACTACAAAAAGGAATTTAAAGCATTGTCAGATTAATGGTGCTTCTGTTAAAAACAAAAAAAAAAAAACTAAACAAAGATGGACGTCTCCACACCAACATTAAAGCAGGACATACACTAAAGAAAGACATTTGTTTACGGGTAGAAAGAACAATAAAATATGCATAGACAGTGATAAAGTAATCTTTTAGTTTATTTTATTTTTTAAATGCCAGTTGTCCTTTAAATGTAATGGGACAGTAAAGACGTCATCTTTACTGGGGAAAACAGGAACTTTTCCTTGTCTACAGGTTTAAAAGAGAGAAAAAAAAATCATATTATTTTGTTATGCAGACCAAAATACATGCATCCTCAAAGGTTTTAACCAATGAAGTTATATTTGCTGGAGGGAAAATAAATAGGTTACATAATCCACATCACAGACAAAACAAAAATTTTGATTTAAAGTGCGACAAAAAAGAATAAATACCTCTTTGAAACTGAAATAATGAATGTACAGATGAGGGTCATAAAATATTAACCTCGTCTGCAATATTTGTAATTTAAAACTAGTTATAGGGTTACTCCAAGCATCCTCACCAGTTCAGTGATGTGGTCATGGTGGCTGGAGACTGTATGTGCAGAGTTATAAAACTCTGTGCATACAGAGTTTAACCTCTGTGCTGCTGGAGGTGTAACTCCATCTCCTGCAGTATCATTACAGTGTCTTTAACCATCTCCAGCCTGGCTACTGTCAGTACTGTGCATGTTGGACATCGGTCATCAGTACACACAGCATGCTGGCAACACACAACCAATCGTGGCCCCCAACCTGCTCACCTCTCTGCCTCTCACAACGTCTTTGATGAGACCTCCTCCGGTATAGTCCAATCCAATGCTCCTCATACTGGTAGTGGAGACCTTATGTGAAGTGAGCACCTTTTGCAAATCCCATTCTTCACTCAGGAAAATATAGCGCTGTGAAGTGCCTCTAATGACCGTCAGGAAGACAGCCAGTAGAGGTGGATTTAACCCTGCAACAATGCATTTAAAAAAAAAAAAAAAAAAAATGTTTTCATAGCAGGCTTAAAGGGTGCCCTTGCACCCAGCACATATTATTGAGTGTCCCTTTAATGCAGCATCTTCACTCATGCATTAATGTACTTTGGGTTGTAACAGAAAGGCCGATAATTAATCAAATAATTTATTTGACCAAATCAATAAAATTATGCCCTTGTGTGAAAGTGAAGGTCCTCTGTGCTGTCATTCTTTTACTTTCCAGGAGTGGATTATTTTTATCCAAGGAAGAAAAGGAGGTCATAACCTACAGCTGAAAGACTCATATGGAAAGAATGATAGATGGGCCTAAACAGAGCAGATAGTCCATGTTCCTTTATGTTTAGTTCACCACTATCAATTAGTGATAGGTCAACATGAAAGGCGAAGCCTCTAGTAACATTAATATATAGGATAGACTGGCAAGCTGGAAAAGTTATTGGAGGGCGATACACAATGACATTTAGTTACAACCTTTAATCAAAAATAGAGAGAATTTTTAGTTTCTATTTTGGCACCAGGAGTGTAATACAGGATACACTTGTATGCTGTATCAATGTAATTGGTAGACAAATAGAATGCTACAAAGATCCTTCCTTTTTCACAGAAACGTAGCGATTCTATGGAAAGTATGTGATAGATGATTTCTACCTCATTGTAGATCAAAGGTTCAGTTGCAGAAGTAGCATGAAGATATATAATTGGTTTCAGGGCAGGCTGAGTAAGATATTACCAGTATCTGAATCTCAAGTATTTTGTGTTCAAGGAAGATTGGAGGGAGGTTGTGTTGACTATTAACTAGACCTCTTCCATTCAAAGTCAGATAAATTGTTTGCACGTGTATGCAATACCATAAACACAAAATTTATTAGGCAAATAAGGCAATCAAGTGTTCTTATCATGGCTGCAAAATAATCATTTAGTATAGGAAACTTGCCCAAGCTTCTGTGGCATTTCTTAATTATTTTGTCTAACATTATAAGTTGCAAAAGGTAATATAACGAACACAATGAAGTAGTCTGGGTGCCAGGGCCTCCAGGTTTTATCCCTTCAGATGTAAACATAGCAATTTCAGAGAAACTGCTATGTTTACATTGCAGGGTTAATCCAACCTCTAGTGGCTGTCTTCCTGACAGCCGCTAGAGGCGCTTCCCCGTGCAAAACGTCCATGGGAAAGTATTGAGAAATGATTTCCTATGGACTCTCTGCATGCGCGCGCTGCTCTTGCCCCACATGCGCATTCCGCTCCACTCGGGAGCTGACGTCGGCGGGGGAGGAGAGATCACCAGCACCGAATTAAGGTAAGTAGCTGAAGGGGGTTTTAACCCCTTCAACACCAGGGGGAGGAGGAGATGACACTGAGGGTTGGGGGGGCCCTAAGGATGCTATAGTAAATTATATAATAATATAGTATATATATATATATATAATACTATTATTAAAAGAAACCGGTGAAGTGCTGGGACACCAGTATGGAGCCAGAAGAAAAGTTCTGTATGTGAAGTGCCAAGATTGGCTATTTATATGGAGAATGTCCCCTAATACTGTATGCACCCAAGTATGCCGAAAACTTTGAAACGAGTTGAGCATGAACATTTGTGGGATTATATGTTTTAAGATACTTACCTTCATGTAAGACTTTTATGCTTGTTTTAATAAATTCTACAAGTTTATTACTGATATAACCGTTTTCTTTTAATAAAAGGTATTTTGGCCACTTTCTGTTTGCGAGTTAGCCATTTTACTTTTTTAATATAATTTTTATATACTTCTTTTATTGCTATCACCTTATTATCACCATCCTTTTTACCTGGTACCAGAAGTTTCTAACTTTCCAGTGAGGATATTACTCCAAAGAATCCTAGGTGGGGATTACACCACTCAAGCTGTATTCATTGAGCAGTTAGCCTGCTTAATCAAATGAGAGTAACCACTTGTTATTTTATAATCTCACCTCTGGTTTTTATACTCTAAGCACTATTGCTGTTTTTTTATTTTATTTTTTTTATTGCTCCTAAATCAAGCAAGACTACATAGACTTCACGTATCCTATAAGTGGGGATTGTACCACTGTACGCTATCAACACTAGAGCTAAGTTGATATCTCTATCAAACGTAAGTAGGACCATATAGATTTTCTATACTGTATCTATACCCTTTTTGGGACATACTGCACCATTAGTTGTCATTTTTATCTATTTCATATGAACTTCAAGGATGTATTTATATCACATTGAGGAATACACCTACTATCAAGATTGTACCATCTTCCACAGATAGGTTTTCATTTTTGGATTCATCCACCTCAGACGTTTTTACTCTGGACCTTTTAGTTATTGTGTATATATGTTCTGCAACTCTAGCTTGTCATATGTGATTGTAGTATACTACCTTTATATTTTAGTGGCGCTACCTTTCCTTTATCTGTTTCTGCTGAAATTTATGCAGTTATCAAAACGACAAACCTGAATGTACTCTGATGATGTGTCATTCTAAGCACATCCTGCAAATTCCCAATTTTCTGATAAATCTATAATGTGTTATGGACTGTTACCCTATGTGTTAGGGCAGCAGCTCCCAAACAAGTCCTCATGTCCCATAAACAATACAGGATGTATGTATTTTTCTGTTTTATTCAAATGAAAATACTGACAAAGCCTTGACTGATGGTGGGACTTGAGGACTGGTTTGGGAAACATTGTGTTGGAGAGTACTCTTCTCTGTGCTTTCCCAACAGAGTTATCACATCCACAAAGCTACATACAGTTGTTTTACCAATGTTAACACTGTAATAATATAGCGTAACTGAGACAACCACCTATTATTTTATAAAGGAGTATTTAAATGGATCAAAAAAAAAAATCTGAAATCATTATTGAGCGTTTAAATAGTTTTTATACCAAGGGTGCTCATAACACACCTTACACTATGTTGCAGAACCTGCCACAAAACAATTCCCAAGTGCAATTAACACATAAGTAAAACAGAAGAAGCCAATTTCAGTTTCAATAAAAGGAGTCAACTTTAAACAATAGACATCGTGTTCGTCACAGTCTCAACAATCTCGGAAATATGTACATCAACATGGCATGCCACTGAAGAAAACAACGTTATGGTCTGAAGGATCAGATGCCTTGTCCTGAAGGACTAATCATTTCCTGAAGTACAAGATGTAGCAAGTGATTCTGTTCTGCAGTCAACAGTGGCCTGCAACATAGAAATGACAAGAACCCCAAAATATTAAGTGAGATGGCAAACATGACAGTAGTACTTGTTGGCATTGTAACACTTGCTTAGGAATTACTGTGGTCAGTTTAGTCTTCCTGGCAAATGTAAACTGTATGGGGGTACATAAACACAGAATTCCAGTATGGAACCAGTACGGCATTGATGGTAATGGTAAAAGATAGTTATAGACGTCAAAGTACAATGCTTTCATTGATTTAAAATAGACACAGTGCCTGAAGTCTGTATGTAGAGCATTTTGATTCGAAATGCTGCACATACAGAGTTTAGTTCTTCTGCTGTTGGAGGTGTAACTCAACAGCATTAAAGTTCCAGAGGGCTAATGCCAATTCCTCCTCTAGTAGTGGTTTATCCTTGCAGGGGGATGTCCAGCGTCTTGAAAAACCTCATAGGAAAGCATTGATACTGCACTCCTAACACTATAGTGTCTCTCTGCCCCCACTCCCACGGCAGGTGCATTATGTTCCCGTATCGCCATGACACAAGTGGAAATAACAGAGTTATTAACCCTTTGTTTGCCGTGGGAGTGGGGGGGCAGAGAGACACTATAGTGTTAGGAATGCAGTGTTATATTCCCAACACTACAGTGTTTCTTTAGAGAGATTACAATGCAGTAATACAGTTATCTGTAGCGTATATATTAGTGATTATACTAAAAGAGTGATGCAGTGTTTTTATTGCTTTTGCTATTGTTGTATGTGTTGAACAAATTTGCTGCTTTATAGCCCATAGCTATGGAAGATTTAGCAAGAACAAATACACTATAAACACATTTTATATTATCATAAACTCTTGAGCTCTTTTAACACACTACTATGAGATTTATTGCTATGACATCATTTAATACATTCACGGAGTTACAAGTTCCTGGAAAAGAGGAGTAACCAGATGGGGAAAGGGGCAGAATTCTGTTGGTTCTAGACTAATTCAGTGCCTCCAAACAGCTCAAACATTTTATTCTTAGATTTTAAACTCATTTGAGCAGGGCTCTCTTCACCTCTTGTATTTGTAAAACATGATTTTGTTTGGTGGTTATTTACTTCTACATACCCCTACTAGAATTGTAAAGTGCTATAAAAATAGTAACAATAACAATATTAATAATAAAATATTTGAAATAAATAAGTGGTTGGCAGGGTATTTTTCTTTGTGGACATGTCCTGCGTTACAGCTTGGCTACTATGGTTACTAAGAGCATAATCTGTAAACGGAACCCCTAAAACACAGAGCCCCACTCAAATCTCGGAACTCACCAGAGTTCAACTTGTAGAACTTTAAGAGACTCCACATCATTTTCCTGACATGCCATCTGTAAATAACAGTAAAAAAATGAAGACTTTAGCATGATTTAGTGCATCACCCAACAAAAAAAGAAAAAAATAACAAAACACTTGGTAGCTACACATTACTGTGTCCAAGTTTATTCAGCTTTTCTCTCCAAAAATGTCCTCACACACCCATAAATAAATGTGTCTCTTCACTGCCTGTAATTTGGGCCTTCAACACTTTCTTGCTGCATCCTGTCTTTTAAAATCCTTGTAACAAATTATCCTGAAATCCCCATAGTCTTTAAACTATGAAACACTCCCAGGAAATAAACTCTTCACAGAACTCTCATCCTGATGAACAATTTAACAGGGTTCAGTTGTACTCATCCTACACATGCTGCATATAAACACACATTCAAATACACTCTTCTAATCCCTGTAGGTCATACACTCATGAAAAGCAGTGCCCTTAGCACCTTCTAATTATATATGTCAACTGTTCTTTATCTAACCACACGCAACATGTAAAAAGGCTAAAAAAACTGCAGTTATTTTGTTTAGAAAAGGTGGTCTAACAGGGACTGTAATAGCACAACGCAAATATATCCAGAGTAAGTATGAACATCTGTGGCCTGTACATTAACAGGAACATACAACAGATGAGGTCATCTACTCAGATTTCAAAACATGATTTTTTTCCCATAGTAGAGGATAGTACAGTTAGAATAATAAAAGATGTGGATTTCTGTACCCAAAGATGTTGTTTTAACAGATTCTTTGGCAATTTCTTTTTGGATGTATGTTTTAGGGTATAAGTCATAAATATGGGACCAGTTTGTTGGGCATGGGAGGAACCTGGTTGTCATTGTCAAAGAGAAGGATTTGTGCCTCTTTTTGTGGTACACCTTGCAGTCATTTTGACTTTTCATGCTCTTTTGGATCAACAGCATTAATGTGTGTGAATGGCTGAATTTAAATCACTTGAATCTTTTTAGCCTACATTACTACACAACTATGAAAAATGAAGATTGACGAGCTCACAGCCTTCCCTTGAAGCTAGAACAGCTTCTCAAATCATTTTGGAACTCAGCTAACTAGATAAATAAATGAAGACTTGGCGAGATCAGGGTATAGCTATATCGTTCTGTATTCATTCACAGTAATGTAGTAGAATTAACATTCATTATTGTAACCAGCCAAAAAAGTAGAAGAATTAAAACTTTTATTAAAGCTGTCACTTACCACAACTGACTGCAGCAGTAAAAATACCTCTTCTGTCAAATAATTCACTGCAGCAATAGAAGAAACAAGTCACATTAGGATAGATGAGATATACAGATGCATATCTGCTTGCCTTTATTTTCCTTTTGAATAGAACAATGTCCCAGTCAATCACACTGCTTTCCTTATGTTGCAGACTTATATAATACCATGCACTACCGCTGTGTTTTGGAATTTTCATAAAGCCTTTAAACAGTGGGAATTTGTCATTTTAACATTTTCAGTGTATTCAAGTTTTTTTTGTTGTTTTTTTTTATCTCAACAGTCAAATGACGAAGATAATATGGATGAAGGTATAATTGATGGTGTTTTTTTTTTTCCTTCTTAATATAAGGCTAGAGCAGACACCCACTACTTTCCTGCATATATTTGAAGACGGACACATACATGGGATTGTATTTGAGGCAGTGTCGACACCGTTATTGCAAAAAAGGTTGAGAACCCCTTTCCAACATCTGTAAGGATGTGTAGAGCCTACGATGATTAACAGGGCATGTGCGTTGGGAGCTAGGACTCCCCCCTAGTTATAGGATTTCTTTAAATTATTTATATTGCAATTAATTGTGCATGCTACCTGGTAAAAGATGGAATTTATATCAGTATAATCTGGGAATATTTATTCTACCCTTTATACCATACTGACACCACTAGTAACCTAATGTATACATCATTTAAAAAAAAAAGTTCTTAAAATAAAATAAACAAGAACTCTGATCAACTTGGTGGGAAATATGAACAGAGTTCCACTTGTCCCCTTCGCCCCTGACAACAGCATGTTTAAATGCCGAAACACGCATCCAGCTTTTTTTTCTCTCTTTTTTTTTTTTTTTTTTAGCACTTTATTTTTTTCACATGTTTATTAGGATTTAACTATTTTTATTAGGGCTAATGGCAATGCCCTCCCCCCCCCCAATAAGAAAAGATATTAACAGGTATTAAGACACTATAAAGAAAGAAAATAAAACGAGAGTAAAAGCTGATATAAAAAAAAAAAACAAGAAAATGCTGCCTCATAGTAATAGGAATTGCACTGTTAGAGTGATCAACTAATGAAGGTACTTGCTACATACATTCCTCATTGACTTATATACAAAAAATGAGGAGGTTTGCATTTAAACAGGATATGTGACAAAGACGAGGGAAGAAAAGAGAAATATAAAGTTCCTGTTAAGCACCTGTCAAGCTACAGATATCAGACTTTTTTCTGTGATGTGTTTTTTTTCTTCCTTAAAAATTAAAAAGGGACATAACGTTCACTCCTTATTAAAAGATAGACACTACCAGCTGCTACACTGTCTAATTTTAAGTCTCTACCTCAAAGTGCCAGAAAAGTGTTTGTTTTGGGGGTTTTTTTAGTTTGATTTTTTTTTTTCCCCTCTCCCTCTCTCTCGGTCTAATCTAAATTCCCTCAGGTGGCTTAAAAAAAAAAAAAAAAGCAAACCGGTCGCCAAAAAAAAAAAAAAAAAAAAAGAAAAGGTGTAAATAAAATAGAAAAGCATTTATCCTTTTTTACACCCCCACACAATTCTAGATCAAATATTTTTTTTAAATCTAGAAAATAAATCTAGGAAAACAATGCAGAAAATAAAGCTATGACAACTCAAAACAGAGAAGAAAAAGAGATGACTGAAGATCCCATTAAAATTACACATCAGGAAGAAATCCAAACTGTTCTACATGAATATCTTAAAGTCTGTTTTGAAAAACAACTGGGACAAATTAAATCAGAGATACAAGTCAACAGAATGGAAATAAAGAAAGATCTGCAAGCTCTGGGAAATAGACTGAAAGAAAATGAAGAAAAAATTTTATCATAAGAGTTCCAATTGGCTCAACAACAAGAAAACCAAAAATAATTAAAAAATAAAATTAGTGAAATAGAACTAAGAGTAGCAGACGCAAAAGATAGATCTAAATGGAACAACTTGAGATTCAGGGATATATCAGAGCAAATATCCAGTGACAAGTTGGAAGAATATCTAACGGACTTCATTCAAAAACTGGGCATTCAAGTGTTACCGATGGAAAGATGCCACAGAACCGAAAGACCACCGAATATACCAACATCAGTGCCCAGAGATATAAAAGCCTGCTTCTTCTCTTCCAAAGTTAAAGACCAAATAATAAAGTTATACAGAAATAATATATTGCAAGATCCATATGATAAAATCAAAATCTTTTCAGATCACATTCTACAAGATACAGAAGAAAAAACGTTTGCACCATCAACAAGCCACTTAAGAGATAAGAACATACGTTACAAGTGGGCTTTCCTTTAAAAATTTCAGTATACTATCAAAAGTACTAGATTTTCAGGATCCAGACGCATTGCGTAAATGGATACAGGATAATCTTTTGACAGATCTTTAAAGAAAAAGATGGAGGAAAAAAAATAAATAAGAAAAAGCAGAGATGGAAATATCTACAATCAAAAGACGAAAAAAAAAAAAAAGAATAGCGGAAGGACTTAAAACTATAACTATACTGTTTTTTGCTTTTTTTCCCCTCTCCATTATCTGTATCGAAAGGTTACAGAGTACATATGTAAATGTTTTCACTTTGATAAGTGGCAAAGTTCCTGAATGTATTTTTTTTGGGGGGTGTAAATACAGAGAGCGTCAATAGAATGAGAGGGAAATGTACTGAAGCTCCCCTAATAGGTAACATAAGCTAAAGAATTCAGGCTCTTAAAATTTGCTAGAACTCATTAACAGTTTCCAAATAAGGAATTTTCAATTACAAGTATTCACTATAAAGAAGTAGAACAAATATATTTTAAATAAGGTTAAATAGTTTCACAATAAGGAGATAAGTTATTTACAAGGATTAATGTGGTAGATTATCTGATTATATAAGATTAGTTATGATCCCTTAGATAGAAAAGGATCACATGGGGAAAACACTAAAAATTACAAGATAAAATATTAATAAACACAAAATTAGGTTTAAGTGCATAGGGGAAAGATAAAAGAAAAAGGAATAAGAGAAATTAAAAATATAAATAAGGTTGTAAAATAAGTTCAACAGTACATAACAGGACATATAAAGGAGACAGTCAAGGGTCTAATATTTTTTTATTTTTTTTAATATTAAGAGAGTGGTAAAAGTACACAGTAGGCTATAACACTGGAAGGGTATAAAATACACTATAGGGTTTGTTTACTTATTTGGTTTTTGTTCTCTTTTGTAATAGAATAAAGTGGAATTACTGTATAAGATATAAAATATAGAATATATATTTTTTAAGCTGTAGTTGTTCTGGTTACTATAGTGTCCCTTTAATTTGAAACAGATATGGAGAGCAGATATGGCCCTTCTTCATCTAAATGCTGCCAATGCTTCCTAAAACTAAAAAATGGCTCTTAAATCACATTCTGATGGCCTTTAAAGGCTCCATTGCAAAAAATTGGAAAACTGACAAAGTAGACATGTGGCCACAAATTAGAGAAAGAGTGTTATTTCAATGTAGAATTGAACGTGCAATAGCTTCAAATTTTTGCATTAACTAGAAGAAATATAATATTTGGGATAATTGGATAGCAGTCCTTAATAATCAAATAAGGGACTTATGAAACCTTAAAAATGGGAGGGGGGGGACAATGACAACATAATAGTACCAATTAAATATCCTTCATTTACCGTTGTTGTTTTAACCAGGATGTAGATTTGTCTTTATAGGTGAAAGTTTGTGTAATTATTTGGATTTAATCAAAAATACATTTTATATTGTATGCTACAAATTAGCAAGTGTTAGTTCAATCTAGAAAGGAACATGTAATTGTTTATATTTGTTGTACTAACTATAAGAAATATATATGGGACATTTATATAATAGTCCTTAATATACAAATAAGAGAGTTATGAGACCCAGAGGGAGGAAAGGAGAGATAAGAAAAAGGAAGGGAAAAAGAAAAAACCTGATCAGTATCAATGAAATATTCTCTATTTTTTCAGTTAAGATTTAGAGTGGTCTGTGTATGTGAAAGTTTGTCTAACTATCTGGATTTAATAAGAATTTTATATTGAGAAAAAAAAAAAAAAAGTAATTATCTTCACCTATTCCTGATTGTTAATGTGAAACCAAAGATGATAGCATAAAGGAGTTAATTATAGGCGCATTAAATCTAACCTAATCATATAACTAATGGTGGTTCAATTTCAGGTTTGGCATGATGCATCCTCCTTCTAAGAAGACTCCTGACATAGAATACGAAGTCCAAACTCTGTAACGAGTAATGGTAAATGGACCTACCATGGCTGTGGCTGTCAAATGCCTCCCAGTCATACTTCTCCAAGGTTTGTGCATGTTCAGGCAATAATTTTTGAGGAGGAGGCTGAAATGTGATACATTTTCATAATAAAACACAAATTAGGTAATATAACACATACAATGGTAAGTTAAAGTCCATGTTCAATGATATAGATAGAAAAAAAAATTGAAGCTGCACTGGCCTCCAAGCTTCCCCCATCATCAAACTTTTAGAACAAAGATATATTTGAGGATCAAAAAAAGAATTTTGATATTCCATTAAATCTTAACGACTGCAATTGTGCATTTTTGTATGTCATCTTAATAAAACAATAACAATTTTCTAATTTTAATTTCTTCATTAATATACTTAAAGGAACACTATAGGGTTAGGAACACAAACATGTATTTCTGACCTTAAAGCGTTAAACCACCATCTAGTCTCTACTGGCTAAATATAGTAAAATTTTACTTGTATTCAAGTCTGCAGCTGCAGTCTCTGCCCCTGATCTGCCTTTCTCACTCCTATAATCAGAGGTGATTCTCTGAGCCAATCACAATGCTTTCCCTCAGGATTGGCTGAGACTGTCAAGGAGGCAGACCAGGGGCAGAGCCAGCACAAGCCAGACACAGCCCTGACCAATCAGCATTTCCTCATTGAGATTCATTGATTTATTTTTTAATTTGTATGTATTTAAATATACTGAATAGGCAACATACACAAGTAACATCTACAAGACGTTTGTTTTCTACATCTAGATATTGCTCTATATCTCAAGCTGAAAATCTGAGTTTTAAGAATGAGATACAATTTTTTTAACATATCAACTTTTCAGCTCTGCTTGGCCTTTAAAATCAATATTTAAGTGGGACGGATGAGTAATACAACATTATGAACACATACTTCATCTTCCCATTAATAGCCTAGTAGACTGCTTTCTTTTGGTTTTATATATTAATGCTAGATCACAACAATGTGAAGAAATGACAGTAGTGGATCTAGAATATAATCCTCTCTCCATGTCCCAAACCACCATCTTGTAGTACAGTCATTTAAACAGACCCTTTCCATATTATATATTCTCAGCACCATTGACAAACCAAAGAATTCCATTCCATCCGATTTTCTAACCCTCTTCAAGTCACACACCCCTTTGGGTGTAAGACTTGGGGTTTCCTGCTATGGTTAATATCCAGGAAAATAAAAACCAAGGGAAATACGTGGTTTTTTTTCTAGTTATTCTTAGGCAGCAAATATGTTTGGAAAATACCCAAGGACTAACAAGGGAGGAAACAAATCAGATACTATCAACAATTATATTAAATCCCATCCTGTATTACATTTCTTCCAAAACCAGCTGTGAGATTAACATCCTGTATGCAGTGCTCAACAAAACGTATTTGCTCAGGTCCAAACACTAGCACAGGCTTCCCCAAACTCCGGCCCTCCAGATGTTGCTAAACTACAACTCCCATGATCATGGGAGTAGTAGTTCAGCAACATCTGGAGGGTCGGAGTTTGGGGAAGCCTCCTCTAGCATAACCCCATGGTTAATGAATCTACATAAAGAGAGTAGCAGAACTCCCATATCTTTCAAATGCGGATCAGTGAACTCCACAATGTGCAAATAGGAACTAAGTAAGTAACTGGAGGCTAAACTTACATTTAAGGACTCTGAAAATCTGTATCTAAACTCAATTGCCATCTTGCATTGGCTGAAAATGCACATACTGTGCTCTCAAGATGGAAACAGCATTACGTTTGTTAAAAAAAAAAAAAGTATCATCTTCTCCTTGAGTGCAAGGACACCGTGAATGTGAATTTAAAAAAAAAAAAAAAACTATTTTGGAAGGCGTTTTCCTGAATGATGCACAGTGAGAAGAATTATTTGGGACAGTAAGTATTTAATAGATCTATTTATACATTTATATTATTATTCAAATGTATTGTTGGCGCTGCGGTGGACACTTTGTATTTTCATTTGTCTTGTCACTGCCTAGTGGATATACTTCTTTCTCTATGGGCAGCTCAGCTTGGGAGAGAGGAAACTCAAGAGTAACAAGTTACCCCCAAGTAAAGGTCCTCAAGCAAGAGCACACTGACATTATAAGTGACACAAGAAACAAAGCAACAAGGTTAATAATAAAAATGCCAATTTCTATTGAAATCTTCAGGACAGGGCTAAAGAGTTTTAGAGGTGTTGATTGTTCCTTTAAATGCGCTTATAAGAAGAATTTCGACTGAACTACGCTGAACATCTTGTTTAATGTTCTTTTGGAAACACAAGAAGTAGCCAATGTGAATGGATGCACCCAGTCCAAAGTTAAAAGTTGTTATAGAATTTCAGTTAGAATTAAAAACAAAATTTAAGTGGTAGTTTTCCAAGTTGGGACAAGAATGCACACCAACATACTGGCATTACATTTTTGCCATATATATGTACAATCTCTCAAGGAAAAGGCACTAGTGAAAAAAAACACACACAAAAAACAGACCATCTATAGATTTCAATGATCAATTTATACCTGTAGCAGCATAAGGAGGAGGACACGAGAGACTTCACATTTTACGATGACATCTACAAAAGCCCCTGTAATAATAAAGATTTTAGTAATAAATGATTTAGGAAGAGGGGAGTGGGATGAAATATAACCTGAAATGGGTTTTGGATATTCATTAGGATAACAATATTTTTTTTTTGGGGGGTGGGGGAGAAATCACCATTAGTAGGATGTAAACAAAACTTTGCATTTATGAAGAAGTAAACACAATCAAGGCACCCACTAAAATGGATTAATTATAAAGAAAATGATAAATCATGTCCAACAACATGAAAGTGTTGTAGTGGTTATGGTGCCATGAGTGCCATTATTCATTCCTCATGTAAGTAGGCATGCCATTTGCCAATGATATGAATTATTACCTGGAGTCCACCATTTGCCAACGATATGAATTATTACCTGTGTTCCACTGGGCACTGCAGCCAAAAACTCATCATGGAGCTAAGCCCAGTGATGCAGGAGCTAAGGAGCTTCCAATTCTTACTTTTGGCTGCAAAGAGGCAGTAACTGGCACCCGGCGTACCCGGTGGTCCACAAGACGTTTGGCAACTTATGTTGGGGGGAAGAGGTGCCAGGGCACTCCTTGCAACACTATGAGTGCCTTGGCACCTCACAATCACTACCGCACACTGTATTGGTTATGGTGCCTTCATGTTTCTTTAAAAGTCTGCACAATCTATGCTGTCTGACAGCAATTATTAGTAAAATAGCCATGATTTCATTCACTTCGACTTACTTACCGACTGGAAGACTGTTTCCTGGGGTGTGAAGACCCTTCTCTTGGGCAAGAAGCTGCATCTCTGTAAACACTGCAAGGGCACCATCATAATCACCTGTCAATGGGTATAAACACTGTAATGTTATATACATCCTTTGCTACAAAATTAAAATGTAGGAATGTGTATAAATGTGTTTGACCATACAACATGTATTCATTGTAGTTTTGAGAACAGTGAATTAACATTTCAGTGTGCACTTGTTCTTCTGCATTGAGTGTTTGTCTGTGTATATTTGATATTTGTACTGGTGCGCAAACTAGAATGTGCCATAAAAAGAATACTGAATGAACCTCAATAAACCATTTATCTTCACCACTTCAATCCATTACATGTACAAATATACGAACAAGTGGCTAACGGAAAATACTCAAAAATAATTATCCCTCACCAATATAGAAAATGGACAGTTTTTGGCATGACAAGTTTTTTATTGATAAAGTTATACCAGGAATTAGCAAATCAACAGAGTAGATTGCCATTGTAACGCAAACAGGGGATGCGTTGTAGAGAATTTTGTCTTCCTGCTAGTAAGCTAAAATCAAAATATCTCCTTTGGCCAGACTCCTGAGAGTTCAAATGGCGCCAGCTGTATAGACAGCTTCAGGGTTTTGTATGCTCTCCCACACAGCATCCTTACTCAATGCCAGGAGGAAGTAATATGACATCACATTCTCCACATACTCCAAGTAAGAATGGTGTGAGATAGTGACTACAGGACATATATTGCCAGACAATCCATAGACTCCTTGCTATACAAACCAACAGCTCTACTCTTCCCTTTGTGTCTGGTTCCTAGTTTTTGACTTATGTGTCAATAAACTTGATTAAATATTTGACAAAATACACAGAAAAAAAAGATAAGAATAAATAGAATTATAAAATAATGTGGTACAAATATACAACAGCTACGAGGTCAAACGACGAACGGAGGAAATACTGGGGACGGACGGCAGATTCGACAGAGAGGCAGCTCTCCTACACTCTACAACAGACACCATCAGGGTATATAGAAAATCTATACTCCGACACCTGCTGAACGCCGCCAAGGCTTTGATTCCGCTGCACTGGAAGCAAGATGTAATCCCGACGATTGGACTATGGATGGAACGGGTGGAGGAGACAAACAGGGCGGAATCGATACACACCACGTTGATAGGTATGGAGGAGAAGCATTTTGAGAGGTGGGGGCCGTGGCTGGCCTACGTGGCAGGACGGGGCCCGTGAGGGATACCCCTCTCCCCCCCTCCCCTTCAACAGCGCCCCAGAGCTGGTGATGCCGAACTGCATGGAACACCACGGATCCAAGAATACCACGGGCACAATGCTGGCACTCCTCGGGATTCCCCCCTTCCACCCCTCCTTTCTTTTTTTAAAATCTTTTCTCTCTCTTCCCCATCCTCTTATGTCTTCGTGTTCTCCTTTCTACACCTCTTGCTCTCTTTCCCTGCCCTCACGCAAGAGTCTGACCTCACTGACCGTGCGCACTAGTCTCAACCGCAGCCAAACAGGAGGGTATGGCAGGCTTGGGCCTCAGGTGTTATACAGATGCTCCGCTAACTCGCTACCGCCCACTACTCTAGACTGACCCAACTGATCATACCACCCGTACGACAAAACAGGACCTGCGCGAGGTGTACACGGTCAAAGGAAATAATACCAAATGGAAACCCACTATCTATCAATATTATATGGGACGACAAGTCCCCCTACAGATTAAACTTTCAGGTTAGCTATACCACAGACGCTATGGTGGCCCCTACCCGTCTAGAAGATACTCCTAGGCTATATGCAATCATTATGATAACAGACGAATCTTGGCCACGTACTACACAGTCAATACCTGGCTCACCCAGAGGTGACACACTCACCCCTTAATGTACGACCATAAGATGCAGACGTCTGCATACTGAATGCATGTTACATTATGTGTTTACCGATACTGATACTGTAATACCTTCTAACTGTTAATATTGTTTAGGTTTACATTCATTTATAATCATATTGCTGTTGCCGATTTTGCGAGACCTGCGTGTCTCCTATTTTGCTATCCCATTGCACTGTTGTACATTTTCGATGACAAAAATAAAAGCCGTTTGAACGCCAAATATACAACAGCTAGTTTCTATATGTGTGAACCTTGAAGAAAATCTAGGAGGATTAAAAATGAGTAGTTTAACTAGAAGGATCAAAATATGTAATAAAAAGTAATAAGTGAAACACGAAAGAGAATCAGTCAAATGTATGTACTCCTCAACTCAAATGGCCTGTGGATATAGTCAAGGCCGGAAACAGTGGCCTTGAGCCTCTTTCAGAAGCTTTCTGGCACCCCTCTACTTGGCTTCCACAGATAGTTAAAAAAAATAAAGAAGGATCACTATGGTGGGTACTGGACCCCAAGGTTGGATGCCCCTTGTTGGATTTGTCAAGCACTGTCATGCAAAAAAATACAAAAAGAGCTGTTACTGTTTTCCAACACTAGATGGTGCATAAAGTCACATCACAGTTTCAAATAGTTTTAATCCTTCTGATTTAAAGGGTTATTCCAAGCTCCATGACAACGTTAGGGTTTTGAATAGGTTATGGTACCTTCATACCCAGGTAAAAAGCAAACTATTGGAAAAGGGACAGCACAAGAGTACTTCTGGCATCACGACAACTACAGCATAATGTAGTCATGATGCTTGGAGTAACTCTTTAATGATTAATCTACAGCAGCATTTCCCAATTGGGGTTCCGCAAGAACACAATTGGGGTTCTGTAAAAATTTATAAAAACAAAATGGCTGCGGGCAGCTAGGGAGCAGTGATCTCCCTGCTTAGCTCCCTCGCGCGCACAGCAGTGATACCGGAGCCGGAATATGACATCGCTCCAGCATCACCAAGAGGCACGCGAGGGAGCTGAGCAGGGACATCACTGCTCCATCGCCGCCCGCACACCAGCCTCCCCACTGGCCCCCAGGGGCTGCACGCCAGCCGCTCAGCAGCCCCACTGGAACCCAGGGACCGCACACCAGCCGCCCAGAAGCCCAACTGGACCCCAGGAACCGCACGCTCAGCCCAGTAGCCTCACTGGACCACAGGGACATGGACTCCATGCCAGCACTGGGTAGAGTAACATTTAAAAGAGTATATGTGTGTTTGTCAGTGAGTGTGTATGTGTTTGTCAGTGAGAATGTATAAGTGCTTTTCATTGAGAGTGTATATGTGTGTCTGTAAGAGTATGTTTGTGTCAGTGAGAGTGTATGTGTGTTTGTCAGTGTATGTGTGTTTGTCAGTGTATGTGTGTGTGTGTGTGTGTCAAGGTTTGTGTATGTGTCACTGTTTATCTGTGTGTGTACCAATGTATATCAGTGTGTGTTTATCACACTGTGTGTATGTGTCAATGTGTGTATCTGAGTGTGTATATCTGTGGGTGCAAGTGTGTGTATATGTCACTGTGTGTGTATCTGAGTGTGTGTGTATTTGTGAGTCAAAAAGTGTGTGTGTGTCAGCATGTGTGTGTGTGTGTGTGTGTGTCAGATACATATACACACACTGGCATTTACAAACACAGATATACACACCTTGACACACACACACATATACACATTGTGTGTCAAGGTGTGTGTATCTGTATCTTCGTGTCAAATACATACATACACACACACACACACACACACACACACCGGCACATAAAAAAAAAAAAAATGCGCCTTTTTTTTTGTGTTTCTTGGGAGGAGGTGGGGTTCCCCGGTGTTGATACACTATGTCAAAGGGTTCCACTGGAAAAATTAATTGGGAATCCTTGATCTACAGTATTCACAAACCCCTCTACGCACCAAATGCATGAACCGCACAAGCTTAAATGTTTCCCCTTTTTTTAGGGATTTGATAGTGTGCTCACTGGAGCACTATGCATACAGAGCATCAGACATGGATGCATTATTTATCTGGCACAAGAACATCTACTTTATCACTTTTCTCTAAATGTCTTATTGTGTGATTTACATCTTTGGTGTATGTATATATATATATATATATATATATATATATATATATATATATATATATATATTCATTTACATGTTATTTTTGTGATTGTACAGTTAATTAGTACTTTTCTTTGAAGTTATTCTTTGGTACCATGTACATTTGATTTATACAATAAATTGATGTGTTTGTACAGATTGTGCTCCTCATTCTGTGTTGACCCAAATTAGAATACATGGCAGCTACTTACGCGTCATGATCTTACAAGATGCCACGTATCCCAAAGAAAGAAGACACTCAATGGGAACCTGCATTTGTAGCTCTGCAGCACGCTGAAAATACACCATAGCTTCTCCCAGTTTGCTCATGTCCTAAAATAAAGGGAGATAGCCAGAGAGATATTCCAGGTTAATGTGTCTCAAGCGTTGCAGGTTTGATATCTGGTAGGAGTCATTCAGAGTTTCTTAGCTTTGAGGTCAATAAAATGATTATCATTAAGTTGGGTAGTCACATCTAGATCCCAGAACATACATGAAAAACACTTTCCTGGTTATATACTTTGATACTACCTTTATTATACCGCTCACAAACATGGAGTCTCAAAGCAATGGGATTAGCACAGGCTAGCACTGAAAATGCTCATATTTGCCCACATATGCATCAGAGGGTGTATCAAAAATAACAGAAAGAACAGCAAAGTATACATCCAACAAAGCATTGAACATTATGATTAGCATTACTGATACAAAGAGCATTCAATCCAGTGTGGTTTCTGGCTTTTGCAAAAATCTGATCTTTTTTTCATGCCGGGTACATGGAACGTTAAAGTACACTGTGCCAGAATAACCCTGATGGATCCAAGTTTAAGGGTTTTAACTGATGCAAAACGGACACAAAATATCTAAACATATTAATTAAATACCTTTAATGCATTTCCAAGTTCCAGACAAAGACTGGCTGCCATCACTGGCTGGTTTAGCTCAATGTAAACCTACAAAACAATAAGTACAAACACTTTACCTAAAATCACATCTATACAGCATCGCACAAGAAGTTCCTATAAGCCGGTGCAACTGATGACTAATGGGAAATTGTTACATCTCTCCAAAACTCGGATTCTATAGGAGATAAAGAAGTATAAACTTTGTCTTAACTCCACTACCCAAATAAAGAAAATGAAAAATAAATCTGCACATTTTGTAAAATTAAAAAACAAAAAACAAAAGAGAAAAAAAAAAAAAACACCTTTCTGCTCTTTTGCTCTAAGGAAGGGTTCGCCACCCCACAGCAAAAATTGTTAAACAGAATTACATACGCTATATTTAGGGAATTAGCAACTGTTTGGCTTAAAGGAAAACTATATAGTGTCAGAAATACAAACATGTATTCCTGACACTAAAGTCCTGAAGTGGCTGTTTAGGTGACTGACCCCCTCGATCTCAGTAAGAGGTAATTTTACTCATCTTGTCTCCCACGACACGCCAGCCTCGCCATGGCTGACATAAATCTTGATAAACTCAGGCTGTATGTCTCCACTCTCCTGTTGCTGTGTGGAGCTTTGCCATGGGAACATGCAGCAACGCTCCCCACAGCCTGCTCGCGGGAGTATCAATCTGCTTGTCTGATCCCTCCATGTCCTCCATCACTGAAACAGAGTAGGGGCCTGCCGTTTTGAGCAGGCAGGTGCCTACTCTGCATTGATGCCGACCCGCGCCAGCTGTCTCCCCCCTCCTGGCGACCTATGGTCGAGTGCCCACAGAAAGGGCCCAGCGTGCCATAGGTTCGCCATCACTGGGCTATAGAGACAAGAACCACTACATTAAGCTGTAGTGGCTCTGGTAACTATAGTGTCACTTTAAAAAACAAAAAAAAAAAGCACCCCCTCCTCTGTCTACTATTACAGCAAGAGTTAAAGACAGTAAATCAATAGGAAAATTTAATGCACTGGTCCATAATTCTATTTCTTCATTTCATATTGAAAGGGACAAAAGTTTGTTTTTTGGAATTTACAGAGTATCTGTCATGCAAGAATCAACTGCTCAGTATTGCTTTCTCTGTATTCTAAGTTATCAGCTTGCTTTTTTTGCCAGTTTTGTGTTTTCTTAACGTACTTAAGTCCTGCTTTAACCAACATGTTGTCTTCATGGGTAGCTCCATCTTCCCTTCTAACTCCCAACCACTGGCTACTGGACTGCCACATAATAATGCTTCTTAAAGATAGGTACAAGCTACCATATACCAGCATATCAGCCATCATCCATCTAATGTATAACTGTTCACTCTCCCAGCTTGTGCAAGATTTAAAGGGACACTATAGTCACCAAAAACACTATAACTTAACGATGTGGTTTTAATATTATAGCCTGTTCACAGCCAGAAAAGGCTGTGTTTACATTGCTGCCTACTAACACCCTTCTAGTGGCAGTCACTCAGATGGCCACTATAGGTGATTCCTAGTATATGCTGCACACTTGCGGCACCTATTTTCAGTGTCTCCACGCCCAGCATGGAGGCACTGAACATGTCCCATAGATGCATTGATTCAATAAGGAGATGCTGATTGTAGCAGCACAGCCTTTTGCCGCACATGCGCAATAGCCTGCCAATGCTTTCCTATGGGAAAGCATTTGAATGGCGACATTTTCTAAATTAATGATCTCAGCCACGGAGGCAGAGCCAGGCTGGGACAGCTACAGCAACACCAGTGCAGAGTGGGAGAAAAAGGCGATTTAACAGGGACACACAGATGTCTATGCTGAAGAAGGATTGGCAGATAGAAGGGATGTTTATATCTTTTTTTTTTGCTAGGAATGTATAGATAAAATTTACATCTACTTCATATAGGCCAAAGTTGTTATGCCCAGAAAATGTTTATAAAGAATAAAAGGTACAAATTGTTTACAAAAAAAACAAAACTATTTTTTGTTTCCATATGAACGATTAAGGCATTCTCTATATGATGCAATACAAACAGGAAGTCATTCCCCCTCCCCTTGTCCCTGTTTAAGTCAATGGGAAAACAACAGTTCAGTCAACAGTGATAGATGTGCTTCATAGGTAATACTTTCAAAGTCACCCACTAACCTTTATTGCAAAGCTGTAGCAGTTGATGGCAGCCTGCAGATGTTCCTCAAAGCCAGGGCACCCCAAATGCTGAGTTTCTTTTTCCTCTTGCAGGAAAAGACGTGCAGCCTCAGTCAATGCCATGGCCTCTCCAGGAGCATTAAACAGTGTCTGTTCACACCTGTTAAGAGAATACAACTTGAGAATTAATGTTACTCTTCAAAGGTTTCACAGACATGGTCCGTGATCTTTTCAATACTTACTATCAAATGAACTGTTAATTCAAACTTTACAGCAAATAAGACACTGTAACAATATGAGACCTTACCTGGCGCAATAATGTTCAATATACACCAAAGTGCATGGAACAACTTTATAGCATAATAGCAACAACTCACCGAGCCATGGCCAAGTTGCAGAAGCCAGCATACTGAAGGCAGTCCTGCTGCTTAAGTTCTTTCGCCAGCTGACCTAAAGACAAACAAAAAATACACAATAGATATTAGATATTTACAGCACAATTTGGAATAAATACACCAGTACATAAGATATAACTGCAATGCATTTTAACATGATTGTCACGGAAGTCATGACTTGTCACATCGGGCCACTATGTAACGCTGAGTTCGGTACTGTTAAACTGCCGAACACAGACCACCCCTTGGCTAGTTAACTTCACAGAAAACACTTAACTCAGGTGCAGTCTTTGGGTTGCCGCCATTCGAATTACTGAAACACGTGCTCCAGTAAATGGCAGCCATCTTGTCTCCCGACCGCAGGCAGCGGTACTTGGTCGTCAAGTGCGTGGAACTATACTTCGGACACTTTGCCTCGCAAAACCTGGGAAAAAAATCGCACCACTGCCTACTCCGTCCCCAGACAAGCCAGGAGAGCGTTGTTCGGTAAAAAGACTCTCCCAAACGGGGAGACCATTCGCTCCCTAGGAGCCAGGGGGAGCTTTCGATTACAAGCGAGTAGGAACTCCCGAACGTTGACCGCACTTATCTCCCAGACACAGAGATGTCTGGGAGGGTTACTATTGTATTGTATGTAGACCCCATGCTTGGGGTCTGTATATATAAGCAGGCAACTTGGCCTTAATAAAACAGTCCTTGTACCCAATACGACTGGTTGCGTCCAATATATTGGGGAAATTTCGATACGGAGTGGGTGAGCTATATCACTCCTAAGCACATCTGGAACCGCATCTGTTATTTTATGTTTTATTTATAATCCTTTTTACTCTCACTTCTAGTTTCTTTCAGGCATGTATTTCTTCCTTTTACTACATTCCCTATGATTCTATGGGGTAGAAGGAGGATCCTGTTGTCCCTTCCTCTTGCCAGCCTCCTCCCACTGTTTCCTCTCAGTTTAGGTACTAAGTATTTCCTATCTCCAGGACAATGTGACCCGGCCAGTCATGTGACATAGGTCATGTCTGTCATCCCCACCATAAGGCCAGCCCTCCCTTACCCCCTGCACTACAAGACTGTGTAGGGATGGTCTCCATGGTGACGTGACCCCAGTTGATCATGTGGTTTGGTTTGGGGCCACCATTTTGTTTGTTTTTTTCTATTTTTTTATAAAGATGGGGGGGGGGAAATTTCCTCTTCTTTTACTTTTTTTTTTCCACCTAAAATGCTCGTTTTCATCAGGGAGAGATCTCTTCCATCTCACCATCCCCTATACTAGGGATTTAGGTACTCCATCCACACTTTTGATATAGGTATAATTAAACCAGCGGCAGCCATGTTGGTGTCCCCAATTAACATAATTTGGCAGCCATCTTGGTGCCCTTCTTAAAACTACCACATCCTCTTCTTTTATCTTCCCAAATTTTAAGATTTACGTTTATCGGTTTGATAGTTTATACCCATTTTATGTCCCCCTCCCATCTGCACTGTATAATTGCTTGTTTTAATAAGTTTTAATATGTTTTCTGTATCACATGATTGATGATGTCACTAATTGTAATGATGTAATCAATTGTATCTGCTATTTAAACAGGATAGGACTCTGATGCTGTAACACTTTGATAAAGCCTCTTTGCAGGACAAACGTGTTAGTGTTTTTTTGTCTCCAATAAAGATAGCCCATTTATGCTATTGGAGCCTCTAAGCCTATCCTTTTATTTTATTTTTTAAATAATATAATTCCTTTCAACTCTCTCCAACACCACCACTGGAGAACTTCGAGAAGAGATATCCTTGGTGGGGATCATACCACCTATGCCTACATATATTGAGCAATATCCTATTTGCTCTTCACTTGTGAGTATACCTCCATCTTTTATCATTTTATTTTGTATTATCCAGAGAGCACTATTTTGTGTTTCTATCCTCTTCTTTTATATATCACCAACTATTTGAATACCGGCCTACTGCCATTGGAAAGGAGATATACCTTACTACCACTGGAGACCCCCTTTTGAGGACATCCAAGGACCATCTACATATCCATAGGCGGGGATTGTACCGTCCAGGCGCACATATCTGGAGCTGAGTATAGGCTCCAGAAAATTGTAAGTGCAATTCCTTTCCCTTCATTTCCCTTTTTCCTTCCCTCCTCCATATCGCTCTGAGCGCAGGAACTCCATCACAGGCGCTGCTCCCTGATCCTACTTTTTACATCTGGAACCAGGACTAGCGGAGGAAGGAAGAAACTGCGACGTTAGCCTAGCAACCCTTTTAATAAAAAATTATTCTTATTATGAAGTGGTTCTAATTTCTATAGCCTGTTCCTGCAGCCTTTTTAATGTAAACATTGCCTTTTTACAGTCACTCAGATGGCCACTAGAGGTGCATCCTAGTATAGTGCTGCACACTTGCAGAACCTATGTTCAGCGTCTCCACGCCCAGCATGGAGGCACTGAACATTTCCCATAGATGCATTGATTCAATAAGGAGATGCTGATTGTCGCAGCACAGCATTTTGCCGCACATGCGCAAAAAGGTTTACAGCTAGAGGTTACAAACATTTATTAAGATCCAATGCCAACCCCAAAGCTCCCACACAGGCCTTGATTTTACATGTTTGGGTAAGCTTTTCAAATTGGTTAGAAAAACTTTTCCAACGCTTTACATACAAAACTCCACATAAACTTTCATTGAGTAGATACATTATTTAGAAAGAAAAAAATATATTTTTGTTAAATGGATATGGTGATCAGAAGAATTGTTTACAATGTGAGTGCAGGTCATTGGCTAAATGTCAAAAAGATGTTCAGCACATAGTAAGGAGTATGTGACAGGAGCATCACATGGGGTGTGAAGTGGGTGCTGCAATGAGGTAGCAACATGTGGTATTGATATGTGCTAAATTTAAGGAGGATATCAAGTGAGTTACACGTGCTGCAGAACTTATATTGAAGGGAGGAATAGTAAATGAATAAATTAACTGAACTGGATTATGTCTTGGATACCAACCACATGTGAAACACAGCAAATTTGTAAGTAGGTGTAAACTAAACAATAAAATTTGTGCTGGAGGGCAAATACATGTTTTAGAAATGTCACAATAAAATCACAAAGTAAAAATATAAAGGTTACATACCAAACTGCTCACTGGCTTCAGCGACATTTGGCTTCCTTAAAAATCGCCTGATGAAAATACATAATAAATATAAATAAAAATTAAGACACAATTTCAGTCATTTCCCATCACAACCTGCACAATAGGTATGTTGCTAAAATTATACTGCATGCTTCTTTTTAGACACTTTATAGGACATGTATCTAAACTGTTAAACATATGGGTAAACATCCTCTATTCGTAACAAGCTGCACACCAACAGGGCACAAAAGGGTTTCAGGACACAGATCATAAGAATGTGTAGTAACTCGTCTATAGCAGAATAGTAAATAATTAAGTAGCGATATAACCTAAATTAGTATAAGTTTCATGCTTCAATATTTCCAAGAGCTAAACAAGCAATGTTTCTGCAAGAGATACCTGTGGTCATAGGTTCAAAACCAGGCCAATAATGCATACATCCAAAGTATTGCACATGTTTTGGCTGGGTTCACAAACTGAACCTCACTGGCGCTGACTGCAAGAACTGGTACAGAGATCTCCATAAATAATAGAATGATTCAAAATGCATATTTTAAAACTGGGTCAGACATTATAAATGGATCCAAGTACCAGTATGAAATCATACTATGAATTCAAGGCAGAAAAATGATTATACAATAATTACAGTAATGGGGCAAGAGAAGTGTACAAAAAAAAAATGAGTGATATTCTGGGGCAATGTGCTAGTAAGGAATAATCTCCATGGCAACCAAGATATGTTTCTGAGCAGAATAGCATTTCTTTGCTTTGATAAACACTGAGCTGTGTGGGGTTAATATCAAAAGGGGTAAAAGGCAGAATGGAAATGAAGAGATGCAGGGGAGGAAATGAGTGGATGTCAGGTTGCAATGATGACAAGATAATAATAAGCATTGGTCAAGCTAAAATAGGGCAGCTGATGAAGGTTATATTGAGAATAACAGATATAAATGGAATGAGCAGTGCATATATCAGTATGACCCTTCTCACTTCTTCAGCTTGTTGGACACTGCTCTGTAACGCAGCAGAAAGTCCCCATCGGCCGCCATCCTCACAATCTGGTGACAGCGGTGCCACTTCCGTAGAAAGCTAGGCTGCTTGCATTACAAGGCCGCCATGATGTGGTTGGCCGATTTGTGTGCATCGCTCTCTTCCGGGTCTGCGCGGTCACTGTGTTTGCCAAAGGCGTTTTGTGTGGCATCAGCGCCATCTAGAGGCAAACCAGCGATTTGAACTCTGGCTGCATAAAGCGGTGGATACCAGTAGTCATGGAAACTAATATTTTGACGTCTGCTTGCTTTAGTTTAGGATGCCAATACAGAACATAATCCAACTGGGGTCGGTGGAATGTTACAGTAGAATGCCCATAGAATGTACCTTGAATTAAAATTAAGAGTGGTAAAAGCTCACAAATCCCTTAAAGGGCTGAGCTGCCATGTTGGGTCACACTCTACTGTTATCCCATTGTACAGCGCTACGGAATCTGATGGCACTATATAAATAATAAAATAATAATAATCTGACAAACTGCTGCTCTGACTAATTTGGAGCACACACAGCAAATCTGATAAACGTTAAAGGGGGGAAGTGATAATTCTGACAGTTGTCCTTTAAATGTTTTTAGAACAAGCTCCCTAAAACACAGTAGCAGTTCCAAGAGAGAAAATTATGTGGGATTGTAGCTTTATATTATGGAATGACAAGTATTGTATGAATAGATTTTTAATTGATTTTCTGTCCACATATAAATGTAGTTACAGCTCCCTTTCTTTATATGGATGGATCTCCTAAACTGTACTATTATAAGATTTAGAAACATAGAAAGTGACGGCAGATAAGAACCATTCGGCCCATCTAGTCTGCCCAATTTTCTAAATACTTTCATTAGTCCCTAGTCTTATCTTATAGTTAGGATAGCCTTATGTCTATCCCACACATGCTCAAACTCCTTTACTGTGTTAACCTCTACCACTTCAGCTGGAAGGCTATTCCATGCATCCACTACCCTCTCAGTAAAGTAATACTTCCTGATATTATTTTTAAACCTTTGTCCCTCTAATTTAAGACTATGTCCTCTTGTTGTGGTAGTTTTTCTTCTTTTAAATATAGTCTCCTCCTTTACTGTGTTGATTCCCTTTATGTATTTAAATGTTTCTATCATATCCCTCCTGTCTCGTCTTTCCTCCAAGCTATACATGTTAAGATCCTTTAACCTTTCCTGGTAAGTTTTAAACCCTGCAATCCATGAACCAGTTTAGTAGCCCTTCTCTGAACCCTCTCTAAGGTATCAATATCCTTCTGAAGATACGGTCTCCAGTACTGTGTACAATACTCCAAGTGAGGTCTCACCAGTGTTCTGTACATGGCATGAGCACTTCCCTCTTTCTACTGCTAATACCTCTCCCTATACAACCAAGCATTCTGCTAGCATTTCCTGCTGCTCTATTACATTGTCTGCCTACCTTTAAGTCATCAGAAATAATCACCCCTAAATCCCTTTCCTCAGATGTTGAGGTTAGGACTCTATCAAATATTCTGTACTCTGCCCTTGGGTTTTTACGTCCAAGATGCATTATCTTGCACTTATCCACATTAAATGTCAGTTGCCACAACTCTGACCATTTTTCTAGTTTACCTAAATCATTTGTCATTTGGCTTATCCCTCCTGGAACTTCAACCCTGTTACATATCTTAGTATCATCAGCAAAAAGACATACCTTACCATCAAGACACTGCATTTAGGAGGATGTCCATTATCATGTCATACTGACAGCCACTAGGAGTGTTTCCATGACTGAGTAAAACTTGGTCACGCAATGTGGCATCTAATACTTTCCAATGGGGAAGTTTGAATGCGTGTGCAGGACTTGCCGCACATGTTCTCTACGAGTAGCGTTGGATTGGCCATAGTGGTGGAGGCCACGCTCCCTCCATAACATCAGATGAAGCATGAAGAGAGGAGACCTGTACTGAGACTCAGTGCTGGGAAAAGGTGAGTAAAACCCTTTACTTTATTATTTTTATGGCAAATAATAAATAATTTTTTTAAATTACTCTCATAATTCTTAACTTTTGAAAACAGAAGAATATACTTTATTCAGTAACACATTGTTTGATTTGTGTTGATAGCTTGAGATAAAGGATGATGGTACCAAGATGCAGGAGACTGCTTTACAGATCTATATAGTTCAAGTAAAAATGACTGGATTCATTATTTTATTAAATGGAACAAATGAACTTGTTTCATATTTAAAATGGCTTAATCAAGTACCATATTTTAGGTGTACTTCTTTGTAAGTTATGTTTGGTAATATATTTTAATGTTAATTAAACCACAACTTTTTATTTCAAATTGAGACCTTAAAATAGTGTGTAGAAAATGGATGTAATAATGATGAAAGACATTCAAATGGAAGTTGCAAGGAAGGGATAGATGATGAGAGTTTTAAAAAGGTACTAATTTGAACGCCAGCCTGGCGATTTGTTAATTCCACTAATATTTTACTCTACTTATCTAAATATCATAGATAAATGGTGCAATATATAATATAAACATCTGGCCAAAAGATTTAATTCTGAGACGCTTTTTAAGTATCCTAGCCTTTAGTATGCTGCAGGTATAAGTTAAAAATGTTTTCAAAAATTTTTTTTTTTTAAAAACCTGTTACTGATGGAAATCAAAATGTTTTGCCTATGCGGAGCTTAGTGAATATTCCCCTAGACATACAGAGCTATACATTTTATGTTACAGGGTGTCAGTCTCATGTCCTGCTCTCTACGTCTGTATTTCTTATTACATAGCTAAAGTATTACTGTATACATAGCTTGAAAGACCAAATGGTCAGTAGGCCTGATTATAATACAAGATACTCATACTTTGAAAGGGTTAAACTCAAATTTTTTAAACATACAATAAGTTTCTGTCCTTGTGTCCTTGAGCCTGACACCAGCTTTCATTATCTGTTATAAACAATCTGTACTTGAAAAAAATTGCATTTTTTCTAGCACCTGTAAATTGTAGCTAGGTTCCTAATCGCATACTGTCACTTGTATCCATTAACAAGAAACTAACAGCATTATGAAAAATTATACTTTCTGCTGTGAGACTCCTATGATTGGTTGATATTGCCTAGAGTCTAGGCCCTAGACAAACTGTTTTTTATATCTACAATGTACTGCATTAAAACCTTTGAATGCTTATTGATATTCCATCTGAAATGGTGTGACTTCTTTTAGTATTCCCAGAGACAAGGAAAGCAGAAATGTTTTAGTGCATAAGTCCATGGCAGCATAAAGGTTTCCAGACCCTGTTGTGATTTTCAGCCTAACAGTCAAAAGTGAGTAGGACTGACCAGGACAGTTGATAGTCAGTATAAAGTTTCCAGCAGTCAGTCTGGCTTGAAGTTACACCAAGATGACTTTCCTCTTTTTTGGATGGGACAGCCCCTTTTATGGATGAACCTGTTCCCGGCAGGGGGGGGTGGTGTCTCCACCCTTTCTAAAAATCACATCTCCCCTTGCTGTGATGTATAATAGTAGCAGTGCTAGATTTACATCACCCCCTCTTCCCCCCCCCCTCTCCCCCTCCCAGAAAAATGGATTCCTTGAATGAGGCATAATATGCAAAGTATGAACAGTAAGTAAACATTTGATTCAATGTGAAGCAGCATTAGCTATGTGTTCTAAATGTACAGATGAGGGGATATTGCGTGAGCAGTAAAGTGGTCCTAGACTTTGACTGGGGCAAATGATTGTGCAAAACAACTTACATGCTTCCCTTAACCCCTTAAGGAAACATGACGTGTGACATGTCATAATTCCCTTTTATTCCAGACGTTTGGTCCTTAAGGGGTTAAAGGACCACTATAGTGCCAGGAAAACAAACTTGTTTTCCTGGCACTATAGGGTTATTAGGTCCCCTGCACCCTCATGGCCCCCCCTCCCGCTGGGCTGAAGGGGTTGAAACCCCTTCAGCCACTTACCTTTCTCCAGCACCGAGGTCCCTCTGCGCTGGTGACCTCTCCTCCTTATGCCGACGTCAGCACCAAATGCACATGCGCAGCAATAGCCGAGCACATTCAAACTGCCCATAGGAAAGCATTATTCAATGATTTGAGCTCAATTTCATTGCATTAAGCAGGCATGGAGGACACATTCTTTGTTCAACTGCTCAAATTATAATGACACTTATAGATATTGTGCAGCCTAACCACTACAAGCAACTGAAGTGATTATGGTGCATATAGAGCAAGATTACACCAGGGCTTCTCTTGAAGGGATTTTATAAATCATTCTGATACCCAATTCATGAAAATATTTTCATCACTTCAGTATAAAAAAGCAAATTTATAAGGCTGGACGTCTATTTTCAAGATCATATGACCAGGGTCAACATCTTGATGAGTTTTAGGCTGATCTCATTTTGGAAATGCTTAGATGTGCGTGTGTGTATGTATATATATATCAGATTACAGCAGAGGAATGTTGTTCCACAATGTGAACATGAAAAATATATAGATATAAAAAAACAAATCATATGACTTGCAGGCTCATTTGGCTGCTCAGTCGTACATAGCTTGTTAAATGAAAGCGTTGAAGAATTGTATTTAAATGTTCTGTTTGCCTAGTACGCCATGAACTCATACGTCGACCTGGCTGGGCCAATAACACACACCAAGAAACATTTATTACATATATGGATTTTAATTCTTTTAAAATAGCAGCTACGTCATAAGAGTGAACATACCTTTAAAAAAAGTGACTTAGACAAATACTTAATACATTCTTAAAATTAAACAATGCATTTATTCTCTTTCACACCTAAATAAAGCACAATACTGTAAACAAGCATCTACATCTATACAATAAATACAATTTCTGCTTTAAGTCCTACTGTACAAATCTATATATACAGACTCCCATAAACATGATAGTTCCTATGCAGCGTAGCCTCTGCATTAGAAATATACAATGGTTGTATCCAGATGGGTTATTCTAAAACATTACTCATTTGAAAAAGTATTGTGCTAGGTCATACAAGGTACCACCAGGGTCAGATTTAACAAATGAAACATTACATTACTTAATAAAACAAAACAAAAGTTTCGAATTCGTATATGCAAAAATGACACTGTGGGCACTTTATAGATAATACAATTCCATTTATACATTGAGCTAGACAAATCGCTAGCAAACGCAAAGGTTTAATTGAAACAAATAAAATTAATTAGTATGTGGCCTTTAACTGTATGCTGACTACAAACATTGCCACTGCAAGTGATGAGCACAACATCTCACCATTTGTACCTTGCTGCCACAATATACTAAAAAAAATGTAGAATGCTGTGCCACATTTTGAGGGACACCCACTATAAACTCAGTCATTCCATTTACTGCAACGGGCGCCTTCAAATAAGGTACAGATTAAATGTGAGGCTGATCTTGCCATCCACATGTGTTATGGAAGACAGGAATCATTAAATATTGTGAGATGGGGAGAATGAGAAGCACTATGGCTTTATAGCCAGTTAAGATGAGTGGAAGTTATCAGAAATAAGCAAACACCTAAATTGTTATAAATATGTTAAAGCTAAGCATAATGTTAAGACAACACAGTTGCTTCATACTTTATTTATATAAATCAGTAGTGGTAATGTCCAAGAGTAACAGTTGTCAGCATGAGGCTGGGTGCATTATATACCAGTTGGCATCATGTCTGACAAAAACTGCCAATTCAGGGTACTCAAGCAGGTCTCTGAGAACGGCAGGTTCATGCTTAGTCTACATAGATGGTTAGACATTAGCAAGAAGAAGACGAGTGATAATTAACATGCAAAGTGCCCCAGCAAAAAAATACCCTGCTGCAGCCAGGCCTTTGTCAACAACCAAAATAAGACCTATAGTAGAAGTACTATTGGTACTAATTAAGGTTACAGGCAACCCATTTAATGGAGAGACTACTTTTTAAACACTACTATAAAAATAAAAAAGCAATTTAACTACAATCTATTTTTTCACCCAGACATCACTATCTACATATAAACATTTTATTTGAAATACTAGTGAGGGCGATTGAGTTTGGAGTCATGGGAGGTACCATTGCATCCAGCATTTGGATATGAATATAGCTTTTAGATCTCTAACATTAGAGATCAGTCTCACATTTATTGAAAATATTAAAATCAAGAACACTGAAAAATAATGAACAGGGTACAGATTTGGTAATGTAGCATACTTTAACCCTTTGATTGCTACAGGTGTGCCAAAAGCACTTGCACTGCAATGTTTTAGACACGTTTCTAGCACTCAGGGGGTAAAAAAAAGTATCCAGACGGAATATCTTAAAAATCTTATTCCTATGTGTAAAAGAGAGAAATAGAGATCGAATGGTAAACCATGTATAATGGGGACATAATGCCCTTGAGAGGTTCTGGAGACATCATAATGAACCATATGGTTTATAAATGTTTCCGAACCCCAAAATGGCATTCTTCTCCCTTAATACATGATTTAATGTTAAACGTCTTACTAATTACATGACATTTTTATGGTAGGGTAAGTTAAAGTGGCCTTGTCATAGGCTTATCAGTATATTTTAATCCCCTCCAGACTGGGACTTGTACATAGCTGTTCAGCCCGAGATAAGGGCTCTGAACTGCATAGAGGTGATCTCTGCATTTTTCCACATTCATTAGGATAATAACTGCACAGACTATAAGAAGTGGAGACTGATTTGCAATTATGTTCATACAAAACTAAGAGAATCTAAGAGGAAGTTTACAAAGCAGAAAATTGGTTTAATTTCAGTGACATCTTCAGGTTTTAAGCTGCGGCATTATGTAAAAACATTAACACTAAGAGGAATTCTGGGTATTTACACAATCCACATGGTTTTAATTTATCTAAAAAATAAATACACCATGCCACTAGTTAAACTATTTTCATGTATGGACTAAAACACATTAAATAAATAAAACCAATATACCTAACTGCAATTATTAACTATGAAATACAAAAAACAGCAACAGTTATCCTATTGCTAGGGATGATTTTAGTCCCACTGAACTGAATCGGATGCCAATTTCTTAAAAAAGCAATGTCCTATCATAACTTTCATAGGAAATATGCAAAAAAGAAAATCTACAATTTAAAAAAAGCTCAGCAGAACATAAATATGCAACATACAGCTGAGTGTCAAAACACTGAACAAAATCATACTCAAACATAATAGCACACAGGCCTTTCAGCACAATAAATTGTGTTTAGACCGGTTCACTGTATGAGTCAATACAATGCAGGCAGTGGGATATAGTAAACTTGGTAACAGCAGAGCCTCACAGAGTAAGTTGTCCTGCACTGGTCCTACATTTGCAATGGGACTAGAGCTGTAAAAAAACAATCAACATAAATAATTATTTATATTACATGTGCATTGCATTCACAAACAGGAAATATACTTTTTTTACACAGCTAAACCTTTTTATTTTAGGCCCTTCTGTCATCTTTTATATTATTATTATTATTATTATTATTACTCTAAAATCGCAAAATACACGCCCTCTCACAAAACTTTTAAATCCTACTCCCACCTTCTCTTACTCTCTATCCTTCTGCTCTTACCAGCTGGTTATGTCTCTCCAAATCCCAGTTCCTCCTCTGCAAACCAACCATGTGCTTACTCCAGGAATCACAAAAATCTCGTACTTTTTTCATGTCACTCTTCCTTTAAATCCTCCTTCCATACTGGAATGCACGCTCTGTTTGCAGTGTTACTAAATCCATTGCTGTGCAAGACCTTTTCATCTCTTATATGACTTCATTTATATCACAAAAAAGTTTATACCCTCGAACTGCAGCAAACCAACAGCTTCTGCTTTACAGCTGAGCACCGTAAATGCTGCTTTTTCAGAGAAAAGGCATTCTTTACGTTGATGCCTAGTAACACATCTAGTGACAGTCACTCAGATGGCCACTGGAGATGCTTCCTAGTCTTCAAAATCTCAATGCTGAATGTTCCCCATAGAGATGCATTGATTCAATGCATCTCTATGAGGAGATGCTGATTGGCTCACCATGGCGTTTTGCTGCACATGCACAATAACCTCTCAATGCTTTCCTATGGGAAAGCATTAGATTGACTGCCATCAAGATTCATAATCTCACCCAGCCGCAGCAAGACCTGTGCGTGTGGAAGAAAGGGTAAGTAAATACAGAGATCGGAAGGGGGCTGGTCACCTAAACAGCAACTTAAGGACTATAGTGTCAGAAATACATGCTTGTATTCCTGATACTATACTGTTCCTTTAAATCAAAAAAGCTGATTTGGAAATATTCTCAGTCTATAGTCCTGAAAGTTCTTTGGAATTTTCCCACGCTGTGTAATTTGACTCATAACAACACTCTGGTTGATTGCAAGTAACCAATCAGAGAGTTATGAGTCAAATTACACAGCGTGGGAAAATTCCAAACAACTTTCCCACACTGTGTAAAATGACACAGAGCACTCTGATTGGCTGGATTTCAAGCTAACCAATCAGAGTGCTGTGACAGGTAAACGTAGAGACTTAGCTGTAAGTCTCTTCATTTACCTATCATAGCACTCTGATTAGATGGCTAAAACCAACCAACCAGAGTGCTCTGATCCTAATTGCAGGGCGGGGCAAGGCTTTATAAGCCTTCCCCCACCCTGCAGAGCTCAGTCTGCGCGGTGCCCTCCATGGGTGAAGATTAATTTTTTATTTTTTTTTTGCGCTCAGGTTTTTTTTTCTTCTTCAAGGTGCGACGGTTATCATGGATTTTTATTTGGCCTTTTTTGGGGCTGAAAAAAGAAGATTTTAGAAAAAGGAGACATCAAATTTTTTTTTAATTTTTTTTTACAGGTACCTAGTTATTGGTCCCCCCTAGCTATTTTTTCATAATTGTTTTTGGGAGGGGGGGCCCTAAATACCCTTATTGGTATTTAGGGCCCCCACCCACTGCTCGGGGGGGGACAATAAGTCCACCCCCTTATTTTAATTTAAGGCCTCCACCCACCGCTCAGGGGTGGGGGAAGGGGGCACGTCAATAGGTCCCCCACCTATTCTAATTTATGGCCCCCATCCACCACTCAGGGGTGGGGGCCGGGAAGGGGGAGGACAGTTTGTCCCCACCCCCTTATTTTACTTTAGAGCCCCCATCTGCCACTCAGGGGTGGGGGCCGGGGGTGGGAGGACAATAGGTCCCCCCTTATTCTAATTTAGGGTCCCCACCCGCCACTTAGGGGTGGGGGCCGGAGAGAAGGACAATAGGCGTGTGTCCCCCTTATTTTACTTTAGGGCCCCCACCCGCCGCACAGGGGTGGGGGCGGCAATAGATTCCCCCTTCCGGTTAGACTAGCTAAGTAAATTACATTTTATATGAATGTGTTACTTGATTGTTGTAAGTGTTGCAAATGCTTACAGCTGAATCAGGCTATGTTTATATACTATTTTTTTTAAACTTGTATACATTGTAACATTCTTCATTCTTCCACTGGTATATTAGTACTTCGACAATTCTGTACTTCGGCAACTTCGGAAATTCAGCTATTCGGACATTTGGAAGTATCCAAATGTCCGAATTGCCCGAAATTCGTCCGAATTGACATTTGGAACGAAACGAATTGCACATGTCTAGTCAACACACAAATTACCTGATGTCCACTCTGCATCAGTAACATCTTCCTCCCAGCAATAAGCTTCTATAGCCCCACTGAGGGAACCCTGCAGTGCGCAACTGGTTCAATGGCTGAGAGCGTCAGCTAAGCGCAAATGTTCAGCATCCAGCAGCAGAGGAGAAGGTGACCTGTGCCCAGCAGACCCCAGGTAAGTTGTCAAACTGTTTGCGAATAGTTTGAATGCTAACACTGGCATGGGGCCATGGCACACTTGACACCATAACCAACACAGCACACTGTAGTGGCTATCGGTTCTCTAATATAGAGAATTTACATGAAAATCTTGGGAATCTTAGTGTACAAGAGGTAACAGAGTATCCTATTTTTCCTTTTTTCACATTCAATAATACTCTGTCACCTCTTGAAACGAGTATTTTATACTGACAATGTAATTCACGAAACTCTTATTTTTGTGAATTAAATCCAAATGGCAAAACAGAGGCAGAAATAGCTGATCTGGAAAAATCCTCAAATTCAGCCATATACAAATCCTCAAATTCAGCTTGGCTATTTTTGCCTCAGTTTGGTAATTCATAATTCATTTGTGAAAATTCTAAGTTTAGTGAATAATCTTGTAATATTTGGCCTGTGGTTGTTCTGCCGAACGACAACGCGTTTACACACTGTGAGTGAGGTAAAAATGACAATAGCCATAAATAAGGAACTGTTGTACTGAGATATGTTGTATTCTTACCATCTGTGGAATATTGCTGAACTTCAATCTACCAAGAATCTTTTTCACATCTTCTACTTTAGGCCTCATTGTTGCACTCCCTAGGGATATAGCTCGACTGTGAGATAGAGCCCATCTCATGTTGAGCTTGTGGACTACAAGATCCTGTGCAAGCTTGTCTGATGTCCCAACCTCCTGATCTGCTGTCAGGATGGTAAAAAAGGCGTCCTTTTCCAGCTCCTTAATGCCAACTTAACGAGGGAAGGAAAACAAAGCAGACACAGTTTAGTAAGGTAAGGTTGATCATCTCATTTAAGAGAACATTTAAATCATGTTTATAGAATAAATAAATTCATACTGATTATTATGGAGAAATATATATTTTGATGAGTTCAAGACACATCATAAACTATGAGCAGGAAATCTTGTGGCTTATGGCAGTTTCCATAGCACCTTAAAGACTTAATTTTTATTAACGTTCTTAGTTTTCATAATGCACGGTTTACTGTCATGTATCTTTTATTAAATTTTTATTTTTTTAACATTTAGTAATGGATACTACAGATTTTAAAATCTAAATTTGCTGCACAAGATGGGTCATTATAGTACTAGGTGATATATAAAAAAGTGAAAAAAGAATAATGAATATCACCAGTGACTAGCCATCAACATATACCATATTCCAAGACTTTAATCACCGACTGGGCAAAGTGGCTTTTTGTACAGGGCCCACAACATAACCAATCCTTCTTTGTCGGGGAGTAGTAAGGAGGAATAATATGCTGGAGTGAGAGACCTTGTACAAATGCTGGCAAGAGGTGTAGAAACATTTTCCTCTGTGGGCCCTAGGTGGTATTAAAGAAAAACTATAGTTACCAGAACCACTACAGTTTTGTGTAGTGGTACTGGTGTCTATGGCCTGCCCTCCAGGCTATTTAATGTAAACACTGCTTTTTCAGAGAAGAAGCAGTGCTTACACTGCTGCCTAGTAATACCTCTAGTGGCAGTCCCTTAGACAGCCATTAGAGTTGCTTCCCAGTCTAGTGCAGCACCTAATTTCAACGTATCCATGCTCTGCATACATCTATATAGATGCATTGATTCAATGCATATCTATGAGGAGATGCTGATTGGCTAGGGGGGGCATTCTGCAGGGATTGTGCAATAGCCTCTCAATGCTTTCCTATGGGAAAGTATTGGATAGGCTGAGATTGTCAATAATGATGATCTCAGCCATGGAGGAGGGGCCAGACGCAGCAAGACCGGTGGGATGAGGCAGAAAAAGTAACTAAACTACCTTTTCACTGGGATTTGAGGATGGGGGGAGGGGAGGGTATCACCTAAACAACCAAGCCAACACTATAGTGTTTGGAATACATATTTGTATTCCTAACACTAACGTGTTCCTTTAAAGTTTAAAGATATATTACAAAGAAGGAATAACATGGTTGGATTCCAGTCAGGGGAACATCTAGGACACAAGGTTAATTTGTTTATGAATTGTAACTTTGTACCCAATGTTTATATTTTACTAAATACTAAAGGAAAGGGGAGCACTTTTAAAGGTTGTCCCCAGGCTCAGACCCAAGGGAATAGCACCAGGGCAAATGTATCCCTTCTCCCATTCTGGTAAGGAGTGCTGAATCCCGGACCAGTAAATACAGGGTGGATGTCAATCATTATAATAGCAGTTAATTGTATGAAGACTATACGTAGAATGAATGCCATTATACACAGAAAGAATGTAAGTTGTCAAATCAGGCACAAGAGGGCAGCCAATGTAACTATGAAGGTAACTGTGCTTCTGTGTAATGTGAGAAGGCCTGTCAGAGCTGTCTAGTAAGAAACTAAAGTTTAATTTCCAGACATCTTTGACAGGCCTTCCTGCATTGGCACACTTTAGTAGGGACCTGAGACTAGACTGTTTTTTGCAGAGTCTTCCACCAGGAGCCAGTACAGAGCAATTCAAGGAGCAAAGTGGGAGTGCACTCTTATATTTCATGCTCCTTTTAATCTTTCTCGGGGTTTAATTTTGTGTAATGTACATTCCTAAGTGTGTACCTGTATTTATGTATGTTCTGAGGGATTCTTTGTGTGTATGTTTAAAGATCTATTTGTGTGTGTGCGTCTGAGGTGTAATTATGTGTGTATTTTTTTTTATTAATTTTTTTTAGGTATAAATTATCTGGAAAACATTCATAATTTCTGTACAGAATCATTTATCCAACATCACATCCCCTTACACTATCTAAGCCCATTCCCAGTATGTTCAGTTTATTAAATTGGTGATTACGACAAATGGTGATTTTCACTTTAATACAATCCGAACAATCCAAACAATCAGCTTGTATAAATTAGATAAGATTTTATAAACTATATGAAAATAAATGCAATCTGTCAGATAATCCCATAACAGGTAGTGTCAATATTTACCCTGTACAAAGCAGCTACCAAGATAAGGAGAAAAAGGATCTCTGTGTATAACAGTAACACATTACATATTCCTAGATATTGTAGGGTTATTCATGAATGTGTCAATTGTCAGAATTTGAATTACAGATTTCATGCCAAATTCTCACACCAATTATGTTTTCCATTTGACTATTTTGACGATAATATACAATTCTATTTGATGACAATGCTGCCAATTCACACTTTAGTGAATAACTCTGATTATTGTTCCATTGATTCAAAATATATAATACATCTGTTCTTTAGTAGAAATGGATATTAACACCGGGTCATATTACCTGTATTAGGACAATTTTGGTTGCAAACTTTGGCTCTCACTTACCAGCTGAGGCTATGATAGTTGTGGAAACATTGTAGAGATCCAGTAAAACACCAGGGTACATTGGATGCAACAAATAGAGATGTCTTTTCCATTGAGGGTTGTTTTTTGTATGAAGAACCTGCCAGACACCAAAACAAATACATGTTCTAAAGTCTGCATCTCTGATTTAGTCTAATAGGCTGTATAGCTTCAGTTCAGCCTTTCTTTTAGGGAAGTAAAAGTTGATTACTGAGATTGACATAAATACAATGCAAGTGGAATGGTAATTTCTGCTTTTACATATACAGTTCCCTCCACTAATATGGGGACCCTTGGTAAATATAGGGATGTGAATAATTGTATATATTGTTTAAGTTTTTGATCTTTTGTTCATAAAATACACAAAAATACTCTGCTTTCATGGATATCAAAAAATTGCAAACAGAACACACGTTTATAGAAAATAAAATATTTGTTAAATACATGTGTGGCACAATTATTGGCGCCACTTTAGTCAATATTTTGTGCTACCTCCCTTTGCCAAGATAACAGCTCTGAGCCTTCTCCTATAATGCCTGCTGAGGTTGGAGAATACATAGCAATGGATCTGAGACCATTTCTCCATACAGAATCTCTCCAGAACCTTAAATTGTTGAGGTACTAACTAAAAGGGTGCCAATAATTGTGCCAAACAAATATTTAACAAAGATTTTGTTTTGAATAAACCTGTGTTGTATTTGCAACTGTTTGATTTCTATGATTCTATTTCTATTTTTTCACAGCTTTCTTTGCGCATATTTACCAAGGGTTCCAATATTAGTGGGGGCACTGTAATATATTACTACATTACATCTGCTCTTTCCAATATACTCACAGAGCCATTAGGAGCAGGACTTCCCTCTCCCCAGAAAAGGAAAACAGATTTTCTGTCAGGGGTCAGAACAGACGCAGCCTGAGCTTCTTGCTGATTCCAAGAGACTTCACTTTCCCAAAGAAATTCACCTGAAGTGCCATCTACTACAATGATCTGAAATGAAATACCACCCAATATAATATAGCTAACCATATGATAGGGAATGTATCATAATTATTTTATGATCTTGAATAACACTCAATAAATGTGGCCTAAATTGTTAATAATATAAATGCAAATTTTTTTGTCTTTGTTGCATTGCTATATACACATATTTAAAATCTTCTTATGCATGCAAAATAAATATAGCAGGCCTATATATGATGATCAGCCACAACATTAAAACCACCTGCCTAATACTGTATAAGTCCCCAAGTGCTGCCCAAACAGCTCTGCTGCATCGATGCATGGACTTCACAAGACCTCTGAACACGTCCTTTGGTATTTGACATCAAGACCCAGCAGGTTGTGAGGTGGGGCCTCCAAGGACCAGATTTTTTTGGTCCAGCACATTCTATGGATGCACAATAGGATTGATATCTGGGAAATTTTGAGACCAAGGCAACACCTTGAACTCCTTGTGATGTTCCTGAAACCATTACTGAACTATTTTTGCACTGTGGCAACTTGCATTGCCCTACTGAAAGAAGATCAGGGAAAACCATGAAGGGGTGTATAAGGTCTGCAATAATCTCTAGGTAGGTGGTACGTGTCAAAGTAACATCCACATCCACCCACGATTTGCCAGCAGAACATTCACCAGTTGTCCCTCCAACACCAAAATGAGAATTTCAAACAGAAGCCTCTCATTCTGATCTATGGTAACTGAGCTTTCTAATGAAACCTTGTAGTTTATCTTGAACACTGGAGATTTTTGCACAGCTGGTTAAATGTTGTGGGCTGCTTTGTGTTTTCCTATTGGGAAAACCATGGAGAGGACACGTGCAGTCCATGATGTGTCTTTTTCAAGAGAGGAGAGATATACAGACATTTCTATTGTGTGTGCATTACATACTTGAAAACGAGAGTACAAACCATAGGTAATTAAAGTAACATAAGGCAACGAGGGTTGTTTGATTGGTAGCCATGGTGGGTTGTCACCCACTCTCAGAAATTTTAGTAAGGTCAGGGGGTACTCCGCATCGAACATTACGCAGTAATGAAAAATGCTTATGTTGCCTATGCTGACCCTTTACTAAGTCCAGTTTGTTCAAAAGACAAGGTTTCTTACGATATCATTGTGTTGTTGGGATGCATTTATTAGTTTCTCTAGACCAATTTATAACATAGGCTTTGTGTTAATTCTAATTATGAACTGCTCAATTTGTAGGTGAATGGGGGCGTTTTACAAGTCTAATGTATGTCACATGAATACCCCAGGGACAAGGACATGATTCACCATCACAGAGGCATTACATACCTTTTTCACATGATTGCTCTGGACCTGCAGGAGAAAATCTAGATTTCCATCATTGTTAAAGTATCCAGGTTGAGGCAGACTGTGGAGAGAAAAGCGACACAATTAGATCACTATACGTGTTAGCTAAAATAGTTTGCTAATAAAAAATTTTTTTTTTAATTAAAAGTCGAACATGCTTGATTGGGTGTAAACAACAAGGTGTAGTGTGCAAAAAAAAATTCTTAAATACAATTAGCTGCTCAGAAACACTTGTGTGGGGTTACTCCCCTCATCAAAATAAAAAATAATGCACATATGTGAAAAACACCTATAAAAAGTGGAGCGCTAAAATGGGGTATGTTGCCATTTAATACCAGTGATACATAGGCAGCATATGCAAGAACAAAATAGACAAAATATAGTACAAATGGTACAATGTTCGCAAGTTGACTGAAGAAGCCTAGATTATTGGCAAAACGCATTTTGGCACTGTTAATTCTTGCTGTTACTGCACTTTTATTGTTTTTATATGAATATTAATAAATATTATTGGGTAGACATCACTAAGTCTGCCAAATTTTCATAATGTGCCTGTCTGTCTTCATTCTGCTGGGCTGCCAGCCCAGATATTGAGACTTTTGTGGCTGGACTCTGTTACCCCATTGAAAACCTGAGTAAGTGATTAGGACTACTGTTATTTCTCCCTTTTGTTTTTATCTGTTGTTGGTGTAACTAATTTGATTGTCATCTATATTTTTTATATTCCTTTATTAAGTTCTGCCTTTGTCTGGTAAAGAATCACATTACCTGAAGAGACTAATTAGTATTTTGCAATTGCTTATATATTGTGCTATGTCTTGGTGGTGGCAGCGTTAAGATAGTAATATTTATGCTTAAGTGTGGGTGGTGTTAAGGGGGATTTTATCATTATTTCCGGTCTAGTGCAGACAAATAGTGAACGTTAACCCTTTCACCACCACAACTACGTCACGCCCACTCTTGAAGTAGGGTGCGTTCGTGACAGCCTCTTATGGGTTTCTTTTCACTTTAAATCACTCTCTGTGCCTATGACTTGCATTTTATTACCCTAACCTTAATAACCGGCACTGTGTTTTTCTTGCTTTTACTTCTAACATTACAAGCATGTGTTGATAAAGTTCTTATCATGTAATTATTAATATAACAAAAAAAAAAGGGGGGTTGTAATTCTATATTGACATATCATGCTGCTGTACGCTGGTCTGCATTAACTTTCTGTAACCATTTCAATCTCAATAAAATAAAGATTGACAAATTGTTAAAACAAAGTTTTATTTTTTATTACATCTCTATAGCATATTTTAGCAGTATCCAGCACCTTCATCCACTGGTAAACAGCAGCTTTACCTCATAAGGGACACCAAGCTTACATACCTAGAGCCAGGACCTATTTGGCTCCTATCCAGATAAGCACGTGCAGCTGGTTTGGTTATATTGGAGTGGTTTAGATAGCTGGACTATTAGTGCCCTCTTTTTCTTCTCCCTTTTGAGTGTAGGGTTTCATAAGAAGTCAGGTGTGCAGCTACGTGCAAAGGCAAACCTGTGCAAATATTGAGCCTTATTGTTACCAGGCTCTGTCTCATGTGAGTGTTCCTAGTTATCTGAGCTATACCTCACTTGTAGACATTGTACCATTTGCACTATATTTTGTATATTTTATTTTTGCATATACTGCTCTCCTGCCTTTGTATCACTGTTATTAAAGGTTAAGATACCCCATTTTAGTGCTCCACTTTTTATAGGTGTTTTACACTTACATGTGCATTATGCTTGATCGGGTGTCTGTGACCTCGCCAAAATAACCTTCTAATAAAAACAACTAATGCAGGCACATCTTTCTTGCCTTTATCATGGATAATTGTTTGATGATCCATCAGCTATGTGCCAAAACCCAAACAGCAGTCGGTATTTCTGAAATCATTATAATAAGGAGCCATTGACACATGCTATAGTTTCAGTAAAGAGGCTGGTAAGAAAGTAATGCACAGCCAATCCTAAATTAAAAGCCACGCAATGCTACTACAGAGGTCAGGGTTGGGAACAGTGAGACACACAGGAGTTGTGGAGAGATAAATCAAAATAAGGAGTGAGAGGCACAACATGAAGAGAAATGTAGAGAGACTAAATAGACAATGGAAAGAGACACTTATAATAAAATGGATAGAGACACTAATAACTACAGGGAAATACTAAAGGTTTGTTCACTTTTCTGCCCATCTCCTTTTCACTGAGGAGAAGGGCAGTGGCACAAAGAGGATGAACGGAGAAAAAAATTATGGCGAGAAATACAAATGAGAAAAAATCTTCCAGAATCACAGACAGGTAACACTGGTAACCCATCAGTACAGTTCAAGACAATTTAAAAAGGTTTAAGGATTAATACAATGAAGATTGTATTGGATAATATTGTTATTCATATGATACAAACCTACTGATGTTGCTAAGGTTGAGACTCCATCTTTGATCTAAATCTTGACCTCGCAGCAATGACAAGCCATTTTTCGTAGTGATAAGCAAGTCGCTACAGTTGCTTCCAGAAACGGGTATGGTCTGCAGGGACTCCACCTCAGCACTGTAAAATCAGAAGGCATTTTCATAAATATCCACACTGTTGATGGCGATCCTAAGCCCTCTCAGCTAATGAACTAAGCCTACCTTGATGGGTGTAGTGGAGGCAGGGAGTAATCCCCAGCAGATTACTAAAACATTTTGACTACTTCCATTGGGAAGGTACACCATTAGTGGTTATGGTGCTTGGATTGTTCCTCTAAACTGAATATGCAGATCCTATGTGTAAGAACTATCAAATGCCATCCATAAATGTAACCCACAACACACATAGCGTTTGAAAGAAAAGTAGTAGGAGTGTATGAATAGGAGGGAGCTTAGTTAGTAGTCTGGACCCATGCATTAATTATTTGGCCCCTTTCCAAAAGGAGAATTTGGAAATAGTTCGAACCAATTTGTTACAAAATATAACAGAACTTTTTTGTCAATTCTCAGAATTTGGCTATGATTTGCTTATTGGGCAATTTGGGGTGGAAATATGCCCACAATTTGCAATTCAGAGGCACTTTCCACATTTAGTGAATACCTCGAATAGGTAGAAGTACATAGCTTTCCTTGTTTCATGTTTTCATGACATCATTAATACAAAATCTTCTTTCATTATTCTTCCAATAACAGATAAATCTCAATTGTATGATTTAATGCTGCCTTACCTGTAAACATTAATCAACTTGGAAAGGTTAACAGTTCGTCTCTTCTCCCAGTCTGGCTCATTTTTCTGCAAGATGCTTGGGAAACTATCACGATTATTTGCCTGAGCATAAATATCTCTTAAAGAGACTGCCTGAACCTTCCCTGAAATTTAAAAAAAAAAATGAATATTTTCACAACCAGCAATTTACTTTTAATGTAACACTACAGGGTCAGGAACACAAACATATATTCTGGACTCTATAGTGTTAAAACCAACATCCAGCCCCTCGGTCCTCCCGCCCCCTTGCCACCCATAATATCGCAAAATCTTACTTTTATTCCAGTCTGCTGCTGTTGGCTCTGCCCGTTGGGCTGACATCATCAGAAGTATTATTTAAAGCCAATCACAATGCTTTCACATAGGAAAACATTGGATTGGCTGAGAGTGTATCTCCTCATAAAGATTCATTGAATAAATGCATCTCTATGAGGAGAGTTCAGTGTCTCCATGCAGAGAGTGAAGACACTAAATGTCAGTACTGCACACTGTGCAGCACTGCCCCAGGAAGCACATCTAGTAGCCATCTGAGGAGTGGCCGCTGAAGGTATCCCTAGGATGTAATGTAAACACTGCATTTTCTCTGAAAAGACAGCATTTACTGCAAAAAGCCTGAAGGGAATAATTATACTAAGCAAAACAAAAACAATAAGCCCGTGACCTTCTTCTGTCCTCTGCTCATAGCCGTATGGGCAACTCATGCTTGCAGGACTTTTCGCGGGCGGCTCCCATCCTATGGAATAGCCTGCCTACCACCATCAGACTCCCCTAGTCTTCAATCATTTAAGAAGTGCCTTAAAACTCATTTCTTTAGGAAAGCCTATGGCCTCCCAGACTAACCTCTACCTCACATACCTGCCTCTTTCTCTCTCCTAAAGGGCAGCACTCTACTCTCTCCTCCAGCTCTGCTCCACTCCCACCTAATTTGACTTCTATTCCCTGTCCTAATGTGTTTTATACCCCACCTCCTATAGACTGTAAGCTCATTTGAGCAGGGCCATCTTCAACCCTTTAATTTCTGTGAGTTTTTTTGTAATTAAGTGTTCTTGCATAGCATGAAAAATCATCTAAATCATAAAGAAATCATGGGGAAGGTTTGAACTGCACTAGGGGCTTCCTCTGTAGGAAGAGGAGGGGAATTACCTGGGCCAATCTATGTCCTTGGGAACTGTATGTCTAGCAAATATACCCAAATGTAATAGCAAACTTGAATCAAAGTAGGTTGAGGGTTTTATTTCTAATTAGGTTGCTATTGTTGGAAGAAAAACTAATTATTTGCAATATTAAAGCAGATGTATCCCTTCACAATATAATTAACCAAGAAACTAAAAATTATGGACAGTTTACAACCTACTAATTAATACGCATAAAAGAGTTATAGTATTTCCACAATTACTAAATATTATCAATGGTATTGCATGGATTAAAGCAATCTCTTACCCAGTCCAAAAAGAATGTAAATGGCTCCCTGGCTGGTGTAGTGGGCTTGTGGTCCCAAAAGTCTGCCGTATCCCATGATGCCATATTTTACCATTACACCCAATGGTTTGCCCGTGCGTCCAGACACGAGAAGGAAACCAAGGTCTGGCTGACAGTAGGTTATAAAAAATAAAAAAAATAGAACAGCGTGTTACTTTTTTTCCACACAGTCCTGATCCAGATTACAGCACTTTTGAAGTAATTCTTGCACTGACTAAAATATATATATATAAATTCTCCATTCCGTACCCAAAGCACAACACAGAAGTCTACATATGCGTATCCACCCAGGAGACCTTACAGTAGAACACAGAAAACTAAAAAGAAGGCAAGTAACACTAAGATTCCCAATGTATTACAGACTTCAAAGACATCTCGGAAGAAAAACTGTATACATGAAAGAGAATCTTGAAGAAGTCATAAATATTATCTACTTCCACGTTTCCATAACTTGACTGAATTAAGACTACTTCAGATTGGAAAGATTTGATTTTAGGCAGAAGGGAGATGCAATTTTCTTTTGTTCTTTTCAGTTTCTTAGCAGGAGTCTGGGGTAAATTACATACACTAATTTTATATTTTGACAGATTATGTAAAACCTTCCACATATTAGGCTTTCTAAAGATATGAAAAACTAATTTTAAAGGAACACTGTATATTAAAAATAAATAATATTTATTTTTAATGTTGGGCTGGGTTTAAAATGTCCACTTGTCACTAGCTATTAGCAAGTGAACACTGTGCCCTGACAAGTAGTAAGGAACATTTCAAAAGAGTGCCCTGGGTTGCCCATTGTAAGTAGCCAAATTGTTTTAGACTGGTGTGATTTCTCACCTTGAGGTCAGCTAGGTACTGCTCCCAGCCTCCACTACTGACTATGGAGAGAGTGTCAGCTGATTGCTTCAGTTAACAAGCCAAGCCGTACACTCAGACAGAGAGCTTCAGATCTCAATCAATAAGGCATGATGTGTCAGGCTTGCTACAGATCTTCTGGAACATATTTAATCTAAACTGTGTCCCAATGATATCGGTGCAGTAGCTTCCAGTACAATTTAATCTAAACTGTGTCCCAATGATATCGGTGCAGTAGCTTCCAGTACAATTTAATCTAAACTGTGTCCCAATGATATCGGTGCAGTAGCTTCCAGTACAATATTTGCAGTTTCAGAAGATCTGTACAACTCATAGCATGAATGCTAAACAAGGTAAATTGTGTTACTGTAGCTTTAATATGTATGTAATTTGAAGACTGACTTAAGGCTAGGTGTCTTCTTCTGAACATGTTCTTATTCATCCCCAGCTATCTAGCCATCAGATTAAGAGCTATCCATTGTAATAAGATACTCTGCATGACATGTAAATAAATAGATAACATCACACAATCAGTTTACTTGGAGGACAATTTCCTTATTAAAACATTGCTCCTTTGGTTACTTTAATCGCATAATGTACAATATATACAGTGTATTACCTGGGTCTCGCCTATGGTGAGTACCAGCAAGTCATTGGTGTTATCATTATCCAGGTCTGGCAGTATTACAGCAGGTGCTGCCATTGTTCCGCTAGAAACATGACTTGGACTCATTGTCCACAAAGTTATTCCTTAAAAGAAGACAAAACAAGGAGCCTGTTAATTTGACCAGACAACTCATGTAATTAATCTTTTACTCTGTCAAGCATCTCTCCACATCTCTCCACAGCACACATAAACATGTACAGGTGAAAGAGAAAAAGTATATCAAGTTTAATTTAAACTTTATTCATGACAATGTTTTATTTCAACATTTTTTTATTTTTATATTCTTTATTATTACTGTGAAAAGATTGACATACAAGCTTGAGATGCTATGACGGCAGTAACTAGCATATTAGGAACATACATCAAGATATCGTGTCATGGCTTTTGAAGAAATTGCACATTTTTATGGGTATAATAAACAGGCTGAACTGTGGATCTAAAGATTGGATCTGAGAGGGGGCAGGCTTAAAGAAAAGTAAAGTAGTGCACAAAGCATGGTATATGCTAGGTAGGAGTTAAGTAAATCTAAGAGAATCATAGTATAACATGCTAGTCATAGGCGTGCGCAGCCTATTGTATAAGGGTGTGCACCCTAAAGCATAAACACACGCCCCGTGTGTATATATATATATATGTATATATATATATATATATATATATATATATATATACACACACACATACATATACATACACACATATACTGCTGTGTTTGTGTGTAGGTGCTGTGTGTGTGTGTGTGAAGGCGCTGTATGTGTGTGCAGGTGCTGTGTGTGTAAGGGCGTCGTGTGTGAGGGTGCTGTGTGTGTGTGTGTAGGCGCTGTATGTGTGTGCAGGTGCTGTGTGTGTGTGTGTGCAGGCGCTGTGTGTGTAAGGGTGTCATGTGTGAGGGTGCTGTGTGTGTGTAGGCGCTGTATGTGTGCAGGCGCTGTGTGTGTGCAGGCGCTGTGTGTGTGTAGGCGCTGTGTGTGTGTGAGGGCGCTGTGTGTGTAAGGGCGCTGTGTGTGTAAGGGCACTGTTTGTGTAAGGGAGCTGTATATGTGTGGGTGATGTTAGTGTGTGTGTGTGTATGTGTGTATATGTAAGGGTGCTGTGTGTGTAAGGGTGCTGTTAGTGTGTGTGAGGGTGCTGTGTGTGTAAGGGTGCTGTTAGTGTGTGCTCTGTGTGTGTATGTGTAAGGGTGCAGTGTGTGTGAGGGTGCTGTTAGTGTGTGTGTATGTGTGTGTGTGTGTGTGGGGGGGTGCTGTGTGTGTAAGGATGCTGTTAGTGTGTACTGTGTGTAAGGGTGCTGTTAGTGTGTGGGTGCTGTTTGTGTGTGGGTGCTGTGTGGGCGAGATTGCTGGTAGTGTGTGGGTGCTGTGTGTGTCAGGGTGATGTATGTGTGTGTGTGCTGTGTTTGTGTAAGGGAGCTGTTAGTGTGTGCTGTGTGTGTGTATATGTAAGGGTGCTGTTAGTGTGTGTGTGCTGTTTGTGTGTGGGTGCTGTTAGTGTGAGGGCGCTGTTAGTCAGTATGTGTAAGGATGCTGTGTGTGTAAGGGTGCTGTTAGTGTGTGCTGTGTGTGTGTATGTGTAAGGGTGCTGTTAGTATGTGTGTTGTGTGTGTGTGGGTGCTGTGTGTGTGAGGGTGCTGTTAGTGTGTATGTGTAAGGGTGCTGTCTGTGTAACGGTGCTGTGTGTGTAAGGATGCTGTTAGTGTGTGTGTGGGTGCTGTGTGTGTAAGGGTGATGTATGTGTGTGCTGTTTGTGTGTAATGTGTGGGGTGGGGGGGCCATTTAGTTAATATCCCCCCTCCCTTCTTACCTTATGTAGGGAGGGGGGACCGTGCTGCTGCCATCCCTGGTGGTCCAGTGGTGAGTGAACTCTAGCCCCGCAGGCTGCAGGGCTAGAGTTCACTCTCGCGAGATCTGAGCGTTGCAAAGGCAACGCTTCGACCTCACAAGAGGAACCCGGCGGAGCTGCTGGCAAGAGCTCCCCCGGTCCTCTCCTTCCTCCCTCCATGCTGCAGTGGGTCTGTGAGGGAGATCTTTGAGCGGGGACCTTGCTGCTGCTGATGGGTGGGTTTTCCCAATGGGGACCGGGATATCCCCCACTGTTCCAAAGGGAGGGTTGCAGGGCTTCAGGGTGATCTGCACGAGGAGTGAGCCCGACGCCGGGAGATCGGCCGCATCTCCCGGAGTCCAGGCCGCAAAACATACAAGGTCACATAGCCAGACGGCTATGTGCAGAAATTAATAGAAAATTTTAGGCAAAAATAGCTGAGTGTGAAAAATAGCTGCATTGGCTTAAATGTGGTGATTCCTTTATCAGTTTTCTGTAAGTCCATCTTTAGTGAATAAAGGTCAGAGTGTTAGGAGTTTGCATTTGCAGCCTTATTCCTATTCATTGTGTCTGCTCACTTTGATCTTTGATCTCCCTCACCAGGCAGATAGCGCGTGCCACGGGGATTAGGGTGTGCCCAGGCACACCAGGCACACCCTATGCACACGCCTATGAAGTATTAACACTGGAGATATAATGCCACTGGGTACTTGTCACTAAATAGGTGTAGGTGAGTAGGAATATAGGAAACCCTGCATTACAGACATGACTAACTGTAGTAAAAGGAAAATACGATTAGCACTATGCAGTGTGGGTAACAAGATAAAACAATGGAGCATAATAACTGCACAGGGTGCCTGCTCAGCCAGAGGTATTAATTCTGAAGCTAGACTGGCTGATCTGGGTATGGTTGTGTGTGGCCTGGTGTAGAGGGAGACCTGTGGCCGAGAAAGACCCTGCATTTTCAGCTAACCAATGGCAGCACACAGTCCCGTTCCGTGGAGTATCCAGTCAGGCAGGAGGGCTGCAAGGCGCTATCTGTCCCTGATGAACCCAGGTAAGTGTGAGCTTGTGGTTTACCATGGATCATCCCCTGGGGCAGCAATCCTCCTCCATGTTACTTGTCCATACGATGGATAAGATCCCTCCAAGGGTGTGCCAATGGTAATAGTTCACAGCAGGAACGTGTCTGCGGATTCTAGCAGACTTCTTCCACCTCTTCGCGTTCAGCAATGTTGTAGATATTCGCCTAGCAGGCTGTAGCTTGGCATTGCTCCTTAGGCAAGTTGCAACTGTTGCTTTGGATCTCATCTTTCGGCATTCACAACGTGGAGCTGTCACAGCAGGACCGCGGACCTTCCTCCACCTATTAGCAGGAGCTAGAGCTCAAATGCTCGCCAAGGAGCGGGAGACCCGTTTGGTGTGTGGTCGATGAGTGGGCGTTACCTTCATGTGTGCCCCCAGTACAGATAGAGATCGGTTTTCCGACTCGGCAGCTCTAGTCACAGGCATGTAAAGCGGAGTAGTACTGTGCTGTCTGCGGGAGAACTCCTGACTGATCATTTCAAAGCGCTCTCTCCAAGCCTGGGTTTCTGGGCGCTCTTGGTGCTGTGAGTTTTGCCACGCGGCAGCCATCTTGTCCATGCCATGCGGTCGTCCGTTGAGCGGGGACCTTGCTGCTGCTGAGGGTTGGGTTTTCCCAATGGGGACCGGGATATCCCCCACTGTTCCAAAGGGGGGTTGCAGGGCTTCAGGGTGATCTGCACGAGGAGTGAGCCCGACGCCGGGAGATCGGCCGCATCTCCCGGAGTCCAGGCCGCAAAACATACAAAGCCACATAGCCAGACGGCTATGTGCAGAAATTAATAGAAAATTTTAGGCAAAAATAGCTGAGTGTGAAAAATAGCTGCATTGGCTTAAATGTGATGATTCCTTTATCAGTTTTCTGTAAGTCCATCTTTAGTGAATAAAGGTCAGAGTGTTAGGAGTTTGCATTTGCAGCCTTATTCCTATTCATTGTGTCTGCTCACTTTGTAAGCTGAAAGTCCTGGTGATTTGCACATTTTGTGAATTTGTGAATGTAAAACCTGTCTGTCTTTCCTGCTAAAAGATATCAAGTGATATCAAAGCCCAGATTGTAAGGATTTTATTTATAAAAAGCAATTATAGGAAACACTGAAAAGTTTCAGTTGTGGATGTAGCCAGTAATTAAAATTTAAGCCAGTCTGTTAGTTATATAACTAAACATCTTCTTAAACTTAATACTAAATCCCATGCCAGGCCTCCCTGATATGTTACTGGGGCTTAGTGCCCAACCTACTCAATACCTAACTAATGAATCACTCGCATTCAGCTAGATATCTGAGATCTGCAGGACAAATTGACATTCCAATTCATAAAGGTTGCAACTCCAAATTACAGGAACACTATATGCAAAGCTGTATTCCTAATGCTAGTGTCCTTGTCCCTAAATCTACCTAGCTCACCTGTTTGCCATAAAAAAAATAAACGTTTTACTCACCTTTTTCCTGTGCGGAAGCTCCCTCAGCTCTGTTCACCTCCCCGCCTCCCATGATGTCATGAAGGAGGCATGTCTTCCTATGCTGATGTACAATCCAATGCTCCTCACAGAGAAGCATTGAAGACCTAATGTGCACTTACCTATAGAGAAGCATCAAGCCAATGGTTTCCTATGGGGGCGTCTTCATCATGTGACTGAGTTTTGGCTGTCATACTAACACCCTTTAGAGGTGGATTTATTCCTACAATGTAAACATTGCAGTTTCTAAAAAAAAAATGCAATGATTTACATTGCAGGGTAAAAAGGACAGAGACACTGCACCACTTCATTGAAATTATATGATCTGGGTGACTATAGTGACCCTTTAAAGGGACACTGTAGACACCCAGACTACTTCAGCTCATTGAGGTGGTCTGGGTGCTGTGTCCCTTTCGCATTGCTGCACTAAGTCTGCCCTCTGTCCGTTATCTGGCGCATGAGGACCTCCAGCGTCAGAATTTTCCCCATAGGAAAGCACTGATTCAATCGTTTCCTATGGGGAAGTCTATTGTGCGCACGGCATTTGCCGCTCATGCGCATTAGACCCCGCTCGTCACGGGACGGACGAGAAGGCGAAGCTACGAACCAGCACCGGGGGACATCTTCGCTGGGATAAAGTAAGTAAATAAAGGGTTATTAACCCTTTATTTACTGGGTAGGAGGGGGCATGGGGGGGCAGGGGGGGAGGCAGAGGGATTGGTAGTACCAGGAATACAGCTTTGTATTTCTGGCACTGCTGTATCCCTTTAAGGCTGGATATCATAAAGTGAACCTGTCATGACAAATATATGTTTGCAGTTTCCTAACGATCTGACTTGACTCATGCTATACAATTAAAGGACCACTCAAGGCACCCAGACCACTTCAGCTTAATGAAGTGGTCTGGATGCCAGGTTCCTCTAGGATTAACCCATTTTTTTTTATAAACATAGCAGTTTCAGAGAAACTGCTATGTTTATAAATGGGTTAATCCAGCCTCTAAAGCCTCTAGTGGCTGTCTCATTGACAGCCCCTAGAGGCGTTTGCGTGCTTCTCACTGTGAAAATCACACTGAGAAGACGCCAGCGTCCATAGGAAAGCATCATGAATGCTTTCCTATGAGACCGGCTGAATGCGCACGCAGCTCCTGCCGTGCATGCGCATTCAGCCGAAGAGGAGGATTGGAGGCGGAGAGGAGAGCTCCCCGCCGGCGCTGGAAAAAAGGTAACCCCTTTCCTCTCCCCAGAGCCCGGTGGGAGTGGGACCCTGAGGGTGAGGGCACCCTCAGGGCAGTATAGTGCCAGGAAAACGAGTATGTTTTCCTGGCACTATAGTGGTCCTTTAAGTGTTTCTTCCTTAACACTATTAAATGCTCATAATTTAATCTATTTCCATTCCCCCGTCTCCTGCTTAGTGCATCAATCGTGTTTTGAGTGGGTGTTACACTTGATGTAAGACACACCTCTCCTTCATATCCCTATTTGGGAAGCACAGACTTGCTTACCATTGTTTTCCCTTAGGCTGAATTCAGGGTTTTCCTGATAAAAGGCATGCAGAGCACAGCCATCTATGTCCAGATCAGCAAAGACTGAACTGACTGAAAGCAGCTGGAAAGGGTTTTTTTTTAACCTCGGATTTTAAAGAAATCTAGACATTTACTAACAATCTTGCTAGCACAATGTATAGATGAAATATGATTCTCTATTATTTAAGATGAAGCTGTATTTATCTCTGCCTACCGAATAGCAGGTTTTCCATAGACTTATGTGGAAGTACTTTTCAGGATGCAGTGTGAACCCTTACTGTGTCAAGAGAAGTCAGTCCTTAGTGTCTATCTTTCCCCTCAGTGCTGTAAAAAACAAATGTATCCCTATCTAGTGCAGATATTAGTAACAGTCTAAATTGCATTCTTCATTTTAATTTTGCTTTTGGTTTGATTCACTCAACAGTAAATAGTCTCCTAAAAGTGTGCACGGAGCAAGAGATATTGTTCTTTATTTTGCCAAGGCCTTTGATGAAGTAGAACACGCGATCTTACTAAATAAAGTAAAAAACTCAGGTATAGGATATAAGGTTCTAAACGGTTTTCAATCATTATTATTATCATCTGACAGGCCTAACACATGTTCATTTGCTGGCAGCTTCTCTGACTCGCTCAGTTACATGTGGAGTTCCTCATGGAACAATACTTGGCTCCTTTCTATTTTCTATATATTTTAATAGCCCTTCTGTCTGCAAAGCGTTAGCTATGCACATGTACACCGATGACATAATCTTACATACAAGTAAATTAAGCTTATCAAAATTTGAAGCTGTGTAAAAGGATGAATTCTCAGATGTATGCATGTGCTAAAAATTAGCTGTCTTTATCCCGTTAACCCCTTAAGGACTGAGCCAAATGTACATGTTTTAATCAAAATAAAACGTAAACAAAACTTGGAATTTGACTATATGTCTGTTTAACCGTAATTCACCTCTGCCTGTCAGTTTAGGCAGTACCCTTGAAGGCAGCTGCATAGGCAGCTATGCTTGCCAAGTGATCACTCTTTTGAGAGCGATCACTTGGCCTCCGGGGTCCTAAATTGCAGAGGAGGGGAAGCGGATCGCAGCGGAGGTGAGTAGGAGCTGGGAGCTGAGGCTCGAAGCCGTTATGGCTTACTTTGCCACCGTAACGGCTTTAAAGCCCATTATAATGGGGATGGCATTGAACGCCCTAACAGCGTTAACGGTTTAAATACTGGAAAAACAGTTACCATGGTATTCAGAACATAGCCCAAACGACTTAAATTAACTAATCCCCAATGTAAAGGACACTCCACTGACCAAATAAAAAATTTAAATCACTGTTTAGTGAATACACTCCCAATGAATACATTATACTTTTTTATTCATTGCGGTACATCTAAAAACAGCTTTCATAGTCTCAGATTTCTTATCTGAAACATATGAAAACTCCCTCCTCCCCTCCTTCTTACCCAGCAAAGACTTTCTGTGTCTGTCCACTCACAGACTTCCCAATGCAGCTCAATGAGAAGTCTTTGCAAGGCAGGTGCTCTGAAAAAAATAAAAAGAATACTGATCTGCACACAGAAAGTGGATGGATCGGTGAGCACTGTGTGCTGGCTCGTGTTGCTGCCTGGGGTCGAGGGGGCACACTGTAGCCCAACAGTTGGCAACTGGGTTTGCAGGGTTTTCCAGGACAGCTGAGCAGATTCCCAGAGTTGGGAATCATGTGATTTGATGTTTAGGGGAGCCTAAGCATCTACTCACCAGCTGTCTCTGTAGCCCTTTTTGTTTCTTTGCTTTGGTTGTTAACCTAATTTATTTTTCTAGGCCAAATCATACTCCAGTGGTCATCTGACTCTGCATCTCAGCTATTACACTCCTTTAATCTGCTATGCTGATCTTTAGTTAATTGTGTAAATGCTTAAATTTATTTCAATTTATAAAGGAGGTATTGTTCTATTTCATTACATCACATAGCTGCAATGCAATCTATGTAACTTCTGTCATAGATGCAACATAATAATGTGACAAGTTAGTTATCTACTTTTAGCTTGTGAAAAATATTTGCTATAACCTTGCTCATTACCTGAATAAAAAAGAAATTTGCAAAAAAAAATAAAAAAAAATAGCTATTCTCCAAGCTCTATCCCAAACTCAGTGCTCTGTACAAAAATAAAGCCTGTCTAGATCTTCCCATAAAACATGGATTGTGTAGCAAATTTAATGCCAGCTGTATACTAAATTTTCTTTATAATAAGTATGCCTCTTTCTACAGCAGTTTTGTTAAGCATGGTAAACTTGGAGATCAGTGGGATTTCACCCAAAGTTAAAGGGATTCTCTGGTGCCAGGAAAAGAAACCCGTTTTCCTGGCACTGTAGAATTCCACGTCGCTGAAGGGGTTAAAACCCTTTCAGACACTTACTGAATCCAGTGCCGATGCCCCTCAGCACTGGGTCAGGCTCCACCCACGCTCCTCCCCTGCAGGGGAGACCTAATGCGCATGCGCGGCAATGGCCTCGCTCACATTAGGATCTCCCCATAGTAAAGCATTATTCAATGCTTTCCTATGGGAATTCTGGCGACGCTAGAAGTCCTCATGCATAGTCGTTTAGATGAGCTAAGGTGGTCTGGGTGCCTACAGGTTCCCTTTAATTCTAAGAGAACTATATTTTACCATCGTCTAATTTATTTCCTGAAAGATATTATGTACAGAGTTACAGTAGTAAATAAGGAGCAAATGTAGGTAGAGTCAAAATACAATCAAAGGCAATTCTGAGAATGTAATACCAGTAAAATAAAACGGATGGAGCCAGGTACCTGTAGAAGCACTGATCACTTGAAGAAGTTTGGAGGTCCCCGTTAAGAGACATGTGTCGTTCTGCTCTGGTCCGAGAGTTAATTTCCCACATTGAATGCTGCGAATATCCTCTGGCAGGTGAGCATTCCATAGAATGCTGCTATTAATACCTGAAATGGCTGCTACTAACAACTGACGTCTAGACTTGTCTACAATCATAAAAAAAAAAAAAGATTGAAAATGTTAAAAGAGAAAATTAAAGGAATAATCAAATGAAATCAGGGTGGAGTAATTGTGTATCTTCATGGACCTATCTTTTTCCATAAAATAACTGCATGTAGGTAGCTCTTGTAATAACGGATGTCAAAATAGCAAAATCATCTTGTTAAAGGCAATTGTTTACCTATAGTTACGTTGGTTTCAGATGATAAAAAAGACATTAAGATGTCTGGAACACCATCCTTGTTCACATCAAACAGCTCAAGTGGAGAAAGGACACCTGTGGGCAAGTCCAAAAAAGTAGAGCTTTGATTTCAGAATGTAAAACCCAAACCGATCATTGTTTTTTTCAAAAGAAACATTTATGCTTCAGATATGCTATATCGTCTGCACTTTATTTTTCTGGTTTCTGTAGTGAAATGAATCCTATATATTTAGTACAATGTGTTATTTTATATAACCATATTAAACTGAGTATACATTTCATGGAAATTATAGCTACTAAGCTTTCTTTTTACCATTTTTATATTCGTTCAGCCACCAATTTATTTACAAACACAATCTAGAACATGCCATATTCTGTGAACCAAACACGCAAACCTTAAACTTCTCTTTTCTTAAAGGTCACTAAGATTATACCTTGTGACTGTAACAGAATGTTACAATAATATTACATAAGTTCCTAACAAAATAAATGTTATCTTGACTTCTCCTCTACACATTATTTATATCATTCACAACACAAAATGTAAGTGATAAATTGGATGTTGAAGTAGTGCTTTGAAATAGTCATGTTGCAAGGACCATGCATTTCTACGCACAAGCATAGATCCTTGATGATGCTGCCGCAGGTGTAACTTCACCTCTGCCACCTATTATTATCCAGCTCATAATAAGAATTCCAGGCAGGCAAATGTTAAAGGGACACTATAGTGATCAGAACAACTACCGCTTATTGTAGTTGTTCTAGTGAGTGTAGTCAGTCCCTGCAGGCTTTTTGCTGTAAACACTGTCTTTTCAGAGAAAAGGCAGCATTTACATTGCTGCCTAGGGACATCTCCAGTGGCTACTCCTTAGATGGCTACTAGGTGCTTCCTGGGGCGGTGCTGCACAGAGACTCTACATGGAGACACTGAACTTTCCCCACAGAGATGCATTGATTCAAGATGCTGAATGGCAGCAGGGTGTTTGGCCATGCCCTCGGACCACCTCCTTGTATTTGGACAGTGGAGTGTCCCTTTAAGTTATGAATGTTAACAACAGTGTTTATGGTTATACATTGTAATGCATCCTTACCTGTTTCCTCTCCCACATTAAGTGTCCAAAAATTATGCTGGCCGCTGAAAGGACAAGGGATGAGAAATGCACAGACAAGTACCATGATCATACAAATAACCACTGTGAGAATGAACACTGTTGTTCGCACATATGACAAAACAGAGTTAGTTGCCTTAAGCTCTGGATCTAGTCCACTTGGTGTAGACAATCCATCAAGTTTACTGTCTACTGGTCTCTGCTGAACTCTCTTAGAGACTCCTTCAGCATCTGAGTCTGGGTCATGAGATGATGCACGATTGCTTTTCCCGTTCTGGACTCCATTCTGCTGGATGTTGATGACAAGATCATCTTCACTTTCGTCACTGTCGGCCTGTGTGAGGGGGTCATATTCTCGGGGATCATGGGACTTTTTCCCTGTAAAGCAGTAAATCAGGGAAACCGGTATCAACATTCCTGCACACTCTATTGCTACAAAAACATTCCCTAAATTATTTAACTTTAGTCCAAATGCTCTTCTTCAAAATCTTTACACTAGCTCACTTATGGTTCTCTGTGCCTTCCTAGATCTGTAAGATTTGGGTGTTTTTGCTTCTTCTTTCTCCAGTATTTTGTTATTATTCTGTCATTATATAACTCCTGTGTGTTTTACCCTAATGCCCCCTTTTGATTTGCGCCCTATACATTTTGTTCACTCTTCTATTTTCACCTGTAATGTTAATTTTCCTACATTACACTTTGTACATGTCAAGCATTGACATAAACGGTCCAAAGTGAATCCAAAACTAGTATCACATCATTAGAACAGGATCCTGGCAACATGTCACCACTGAGCCACCCAGTCTACCTATTAAATTGGCACTCTAAGTACCATAACAATGTTTGCTCTTTGCATATGTCAGTCTCACCAGTTTTTAAAAATTGCTGTAGCTGTAAGCCTGCATCCACTAATGTCGATGCAAGATGAGGAAACTGTTAAAAAATCTAATGATGCATACTTGTGGTGTGGTCAAAGAGCCATACTGACACGTCGCTTTGCATCTTGATACGTGATAACATACACCTGAAAAGTGAACTTTACTCATGTTTCCAGTCACATGTGATCTTGCTGAACAATACCGGTTTATGCTGTCTTACTTGATTAGAACAGTTCTGCAATAATTGTGCCTTTCTTTCAGCTTTCTGAATTGTTGTTGTCGGTTCAGATCATTATGTACTCTTCCACCAACATAAATTTTAACTATACTATAACTCTTAAATCCGGGGGACATCATAATTTCACCATAAAACCCCCACCTCAAAATAGGATGCACCATTTGTTTAGTGAAAGCAAAACTGCACAGTGCTGATAACTAATCTAATGCTAATAAGTCTTTAAAGACTATATTGATGGCCCATAAGGCATGCATTTAACGGAACAAACAGAAAGAGGGACTTTTGTAAAAAACCTCTCCAGCTGTTAGCTCCACTGAGCATGGCTAGAACGTACCTGCTTTTACTACACAATGAGTTGTATTACAGCTCATCGAGAAGTGTGCATGGAAAGCTGTGCAGATCACAGACGCTTCTTATGAGAATCTTCAGGCCAAGAAGAGAGAAGTAATATAACTAATACAGTAGAAATAAAATAAGTTTCATTATGTTGCCAAAGGCAGCCTTTTTTTCCACTGATGTCCAATAATAATCCATTGTAACTAAATAGTTGTATTTTTTTTTCTGAAAAGCTGCACACCCAGCATTTTGGTATCCACTAGTCAGAAAAGATTCCCTGTTTCCATAACTTAATGTCTGTTAACGAAAAAAATCCTTAGTAAAGAAATGCCCAGAATCTCTAGCAAGCTACACTGCAAATAAGTCAATTGACACTTCTGCAAATCTTCTTTCAGTGGCTTAATATTAATGGAAAAATATTTTAAGCTCACCATTATTTTTGATCCAAAATGTCCAAACACGACTTCTGACCATTTTCTACCTTGACATCAAAAAGTATGAAGTATAATGGAGAGATTTTCTTTTTAAGCACAGCGAGTATATCAAATTACGTGCTCCAAGTTAATCCTGCCTGCAGTCTAGCAAGCAGTTTCACGACCAACTAGTAGTACCTGGCAGACAAATATTATGCATGTTTTGCCTTGGGCAGCTACTTAGAAAATACTGGTTTGACCACTTTGATCTCAGACATCTTTCTCCAAAAAGCAGATAAACTAGTTACTTTCAGTGCAAGTATCAAATGGTCAGTGACACAAAGCACAGATGTGTGCAACAGTAATATTTGTATATATGCGGATCCATACCAATTTGAAGCCCCGCGTCCGCCTACGGTATTGACGACGTCAACGTGCGTGTGACGTCACGCAAAGTTCGCGCACGCACGTTCTGGGGTCATAAGCCGGGCACGGCCAATCGGATTTAAATGAGACGTATTTAAACTCTTTCTTACCTTCCCTCATTGCCCTGTCGGGGTTTCCCTTAGTGGTTGTCCGAGAGTGTGGTCCTGAGCGTTTATTTCTGGTTATTGACTTTGGATCGTTTTGACTTCCCTGTATTCTGGTATCCATGACTTTTGGCTTTCCCTAATTGTTGTGTCTCATTCTGTGTCCCCGACCTCAGCAAGTATTCTGACTATTATTTGGTACGTTAAATACGGCTATTCTAAGGCCCGGTAAGACCTTTACCTTTTAGTCCTAGGTGTGATACAGTTCTGCGTATTGGATCAACTAGTAATCCTGACACTCTGTCCAATTCACTTCTGTTCCAGTGTGAGGCTACAAACAGGAAGGCTCAGACCAGGTGCTGTTGCCACGCTGAGAGCCTCAGCTCTCAGCCTATCAGTAGCTCTGCATTCACGAAACGGAGTGAAAATTTCTCCTTCGAGGATACAGCTTGAGTTAAACCGTTTTCGCTTTAACAACAAAACTGGATACTCGGGAGCCCATCCACACTGTTCCTCTTCTATTCTACTTAGCTGTCATAGAGAAAAGTCAAAATTGTTGCTTTGGACAACAACTGTTCAAAACCAGTTAACACCTTAAGTAAGTCAGCACCAAGGGAACTCAGCACCGAAAACAGATTTATTAAGTTCCATTGGAAGGAGGAATTCATGAATTGGGAACTTAAAACATTTGATTACAATTGTATTTTAGAATAATTCAATTCTATAAAAAAATCATCTGTTGTAAAAATGAAAAATAAAATGTTCAAGTAGCACTGTCAATTGTGAGTTTTTTAATAAACACATAAAGCTTATGAATTTTAACTTAAATTGATGTGAAATACCCAACCAAAATATATCATAACATAAAGTATAAACTGGAGCTTAAAACAGCTTCTGACCCCAAATGTTGCCATTTTCTATTAGCATAATAAATACAGGCATCTCATTACACATGTACGAGATCATGAATGAAAGATCCCATAGTCATATAGGATTTTACATAGGCCTCATTTTCTCATTTATACGTGAGTACACCATGGCATGACAGCTTCTAGATGCTAAGCAGGGCTTAACAAATCTTTTAGGTCCATTCAGCCAATTTGTTGGCCCATTCAGCCCGAGGTGGTAAGCCGGCTAAAGGGAGAGCATTTGCGGTCGGTCAGCCAGCCATCTGATAGAGAGTGTGGGGTGCTCGCCCGGGCTGAAGGGTCCTGGAGGATTGAGACAGAAAGGCAAGCGCGCGAGGGAGCTGTAACCTGCTCGGCTCCCTCGCGCGTCCTCCAGTGATGCCAGGAGTCAGAATATGACGTCATTCCGGCCCCGGCATCACTAAACAGCGCTCTATGGAGCAGAGCTGGGAGATGACTGAAACACCCACTGGACACCAGGGAAATTACTCCAGCTCCAGCTAGGTAGGCTGGGTGATCACCTTAATGTGTGTTGTTATTGCAGTGACAGTGAATGTGAGTGTGTGTGTGTTTCAGTGAGTGAGTGTGTGTGTGTTAGTGAGTGTGTTTGAGTGTGTGTGTGTGTGTGTGTGTGTGTTAGTGAGTGTGTGTGTGTTTCAGTGAGTGTGTGTGGGTCTGTGAGTGTGTGTGTGTCAGTGAGTGAGTGTGTGTCAAGATGACTAGTCCCCCTTCAATCACATGTGTAAGGGGTTTTTACTCACCTTTTTCCCCCCACGCTGTGCTGGTCTCATCGCAGCTGGCCCTGTCTCTGTGACTGCGATCATCAATCTTGATAATCTCAGCCAATCCCATAGGAAAGCATTGGGAGGCTATTACGCATGTGTGGAAAAATGCCATGCTGCGCCAGTCAGCATCTCCTCATGAATAGAATGAATGCATCTCTATGGGACACATTCAGCACTGACCCAGGATGCACTCTAGAGGCTGTTTGAGTGACTTTCACTAGAAGTGTTACTAGGCAACAATGTAAATACTGCCTTTTCTCTGAATTGTGTTTTTGACATTGAAAAACCTGGCTTCTAACTTTTTTTGCTGGCTCCTATATTCAAAGCAAATTTGTCAAGCCCTGTGCTAAGGTAGCCAAGAGCTGAAGACCAAGCTAAATAAGTTGACAGGGCCACGAGAAAGATGTTCATTTTACCTGACCCTTTCCCTTGGCCACCACTATGTAAGAGAAGGTGTAAACTTTGGGGGATCTTTGCAAAACAAATACAAAGACCATGGAAGAGACAGCATTGCTTTAAGGTAAATAATAGAATTATATACTACAAGATTATAATCCTTCCTTCTAAGGGTCAAGTGTGAGCCAGTCAGGATGTTAATTGGCATTCAGGGCTTAAGAAATCCCTTTTTTTTTTTCACAATGCACGAGTTGAGGATATTGATAAAAATAGTACGGTACAACAAAGCACGTTTAAAAAAAAAAAAGGTTTGGTCAAATATGGCTAAAGAATGTTATTTTCATATAATAAAAACAAACAATCTTAGAGAGCTGCTTTAAAGCAGGACTTGATCAGTTCATGCTGGTTCTAGCATACTCAATCAGCAGAGGCCAAGCAAGGAGCTGCATGCTCCTGTACTAGTCAACATGCCAGCATGCCCCTGCTGCATTTTACTGGTCCTATGTCAAAACTTTTTGAGAGAAATTACACAAATTAAGGGTCTCCCAGATGAGCAGAACCCAGCTCCTTACTTGGTATCTATTGGCAGTGTCTGTTAAAATTATGCTGAACTAAGGGCCTTGCAATGGGAACTGTAGAAACCTTAGCCTAGTTTACGTCAAACTGTCACAGAGCCTGGGACAGCACCAGAGCCATGGTGGCACCAACACTACTACAGCAGGGTGTAAAGGTTATGGAGCTTACTGTGTCCCTTTGATACATGAAAAATGTACCTCCTCCCACCATAACCTAAGCAAGAAGCGTGGTGTTTGCGCTGAATCTTGAACTCCACCCCCTACCACCGTTTTGCACCAGGAAGAGAAAGACAAGCTATAAAACATACAATATGCTGTACTTTTCCATGAAACCTATATGGAGCTGGTGAAATATGTGACTGCAACGTGTTTTCTATGGTTTTAAGGGCATACAGAAGGGGGTACGTACATGATTTACCCATTAGCTCCCTATAGAATGTAAGCTCGTTTGAGCAGGACCCTCAACATCCTCTGTTCCTGTGCGTCCAACGCGTCTTGTTGCAAATACATGTCTGTTAGTCCACCTATTGTACAGCGCTACAGTATTTGTTGGCACACTAAAAATAACAATAATAATAATTGGTAGCTACTCATTGAAAGAAAAATTACAATGAGAAGCATGCTCCCCAGCAAACATATTTTCTTCCAATGATGGCAAGCAGCCAATAGGTCAGTGCACAATAACACAAGTTGCTATAACAATATATACAGTATAATATGCTGCTGTCCAATGCATCCCATAGGTGTAAATATATAGGGCAAATGTTTTACTTGCAAGTGACATATAGAAAACAGGCCAGTTTGATGTCCACAGCTAACAGCAGTCGTAGAAATAATAAAAAATAATAATATTTAAATAGAAATATCACAGTAATTAACAACTGCTTCTGCACTTAACATAATAAAAACGATATAGAATTGGACATCCTTTACAACTACGCCTACAGAGAGTAATCTATACTCAAATTCCTTATAAAGTGACTCTCTCTGGGTGCCCCAAGGCCAAGCCTCTTAGCACCTGCAGGGTTATATATACTGCTCAGCCTGGGCATTCGAACATCACATTCTATAGACCCGGATACCATCGAACGTCCCGTTATTTCAGCTCTTTCTCACCTGGCAGCTTCAGCGCTCTGGACAGCACCGTAGCCATAATCAGCAAGCGAACTGCGCCGGCGCGGCGAAAAGGATCACGGGAGACGTAGTTCGAAGTCGGGAACAGGAAGCGCGTGGTACGTGCGAGCAGTAACGACACATGCACTTCCTTGTATCCATGTTGTAATGTCTGTCTGCATGTATTGCGTGATATTATTATGTATTGAAACAGTGTGTTCACCAGTACAGAAATACAGCTAAGCAAAAATAGAGTACAAGAAATATTAAAAGCAAGCAATATATATAAATATATATACCACAGAAAATTGACCATTAAGCATTGGAAGTCCAAGAATAACATCACCAGGCATTTGATATGCAAATAAAACAAGTGTTCTGCACATTTTTCTTCTTTTAAAAAAAAAAATTCTTTATCTCATTCCACAGCAACAATGTGTGCAGATACATTTATAAATCTGTCAGGAACAGCATACAGTCAAACAAAGGGAAAAAAAACATGTAGAATGAGTTTGGTTTTTCTTTTTATAAAATAAAACTTAAGCTTTACAGTAATGGTAAATAAGCGACTATCTATTATTCCCCTTCGCAAACATGAGGTTATACTCTTAAGTAACAGCTTGCACCTAACAATTCTATGCCCTTAAGGGGATGCACACCCTCTCAGTGGAAATAAAAGCTAGCAAACGCAAACATGTTATTCCCTAGCTTTTAAACATTCTAGAAAGAAAAGGAATGAAAAACAATAATAATCAACAGAAATGCAAGAGTGATCCTTGGTGGTGGATAGTGTTGACATGAAGTTTATCACTCCAAGTTGAAACAAAGAGCCAGTCCGGTCATTGTAGCAGAGCTTCAATACTCGGGTTGAGTATCTCCGCTTGAATATCCCTCTTGTAGGAAGAAAGCTCTTAGTGTGATTATAGCCCTGTTTCCACAGACATCGGACAACACTTGATGCTGGGAGAATATCTGTTTTTATTGGGAACAATACAGTCATTTATACTCAGACCCCAGCATGGGATGTCCATTCAATGTATAGACGATCCCGCCCTGGTGCATCTGTGTCTGGAAGAAGATTGAGTTATCCTTTGCTTAAACTAATTATCTCCGGACACAGAGAGTCCAACACAAAATAACCCCAAAAACCATAGTTTAACAACCCTGAACCCTCACATGTTATACATTCTCAGATAGCTCTTCTTGAAGCGCCACATCGTCAAAATTTAAACCAGCCGCTATGACAGTCCTGGCCAAAAACAGTTCCAGACATTTAGTACAATATGTCGGTCTTTACTGTGAGCTCTGGTGTGTTGAAAAAGGGGGGATCTCCCGGCTCTCAGGTAGCGATTGTTCGGAGAGGTCCACTGTACCTCTTCTCCTAATAGCCCTCTTCGGTGTTTCTGTGATGGTGTTGTAAACAGCAGGTAAAATTGACAGGGACGTGATAGTGATTGCAGCCGGGCCGGATTTCCATAGATTTATGACAAGTCCTGCTGCAAGCAATGCGGTTACTCCGGCCCGCAGGAGAAGTTTGTGGATACAATGGGAAAGAGCGCTCTGCTAAACTATAAGGGGAGGAAGTAAAGAAAGCTAGGTGAAGTGAAATTATTCCTTTAAGGAAGCCTTTTTGATGGACCACGTGGTATCTGTGATCTCTAAAGGCACAGGAAAACTTGTGAAAATTGATGGCAAGATGAATGCAGCATGCTATCAGAAAATACTGGTAGGCAATTTGCATTCTTCTGCATGAAGGCTGCATATGGGACGCTCTTGGACTTTCCAGCATGGCAATGACCATTAGCCCAAGGCCAAGTTGACCCTCCAGTGGTTAAAGCAAAAAAAAGTGAAGGTTTTAGAGTGGCCATAACAGGGGGAGAGCTCTGGGGATATCTCAAACATGCTATTCAAACAAGACGACCAAAGACTTTGCATGACTTATGGGCATTTTGCCAAGACAAATGGGCAGCTATACCACCTGCAAGAATTATAGGCTTCATAGACAACTATAACAAAAGACTGTACGTTAACATTGATGCTAAAGGGGGTAATACACAGTATAGGGTAACTAAGCGTATGCAGACTTGTGAACAGGGGTCATTTCATTTTTTCCATGTTTTGTTTTATGATTGTGCCATTCTGTTATAACCTACAGTTGAATATGAATCCCATAGGATATAAAAAAATGTGTTTTGCTTGCTCACTCATATTTTCTTTAATAATGGTATATATATTACCAAGTCTTTGATGGTATGGAAACTTTTGAGCACAACAGTAGCTTCTCCCTCCCTCATACCCTCTCTCCTCCTCCCCCCTATGGTGCATTAGAAGTTAAAAACCCCTGTCCTTTTTTTCTCACCAGCCACAATGGCTGCACTCGCATTACAATTTCCCCAGAGGAAAGCATTAGATGCATAGCGTGAGGACGTACAGCGTCAGTTAGGTGACCAAAAATCGCGTAACAGCCTGGAAGTCCCTCTAGTGGTGGCCACTAGAGTGGGAGTTAACCATGAAAGGTAATTATTGCAGTTTATTAAAAACTGCAATAATTACCTTTGCTGGGTTAAGGGACCTGCGACAGTGCACCCAGACCACTTCAATGAGTTGAAGTGATCCTAGTGCGTTTGGTGTCCCTTTAAAGAAGGGAAGAGGAGCTGGAATTTCTTATGTTAACTTTAGAGTCAGCTATTGGCCTTGGATGAGAATGGTTTCCATAGTGGCGCTTGCAATATAAAACACCTGCCTGCTAAATGACTGCATCAGCTGTTCTTAACATCTTTTTACACAGATCGAAATTATATGCATTAGATAAGTATGTTGACCCATTCTTCAGTCATAAAATCAACTCAGTGACCCATTCTTCAAATATACTATAATCAATATTAACATCCATTCTGTAAAACACCTTAATTAGACTTTTCCCAGTGTAGATAAGGTCTGCATTGCTGTGGACAAACCTGTGTTGCTACAGTGAACAATTTACTGAGCGCAGTTACATTGAAGATAATGGATTTGATGTGTCTGTTTCAGCCACTAGATACCCACTGAAAGTGCATGGTGACTTAATAGGAACATGTGAAATATCTAATTGAAAGCTAGCAAAATGGATGCAACCCATGGTTTGTTTGAAATTGGTTGAAGTTGTGGGGTTTTCCTTCGGTAGACATACCAAGGGATGTTACATAGTAATATAGGCTGACAAAAGTCCAATAAGTTCAGCTTTTCACACATCTAACAAAAGGTGAATACCCCAGTTCGAAGCAATTTCAAATGTTGCCACAATTTGGGAAAATATCCTTCTTGACTCCAAAATGGCAGTCAGATTTCTCCTTGGATCAAAAACCTGCTACCCTCATGTACAAACTATTACATCCTTGAATATTTTGCTTTTGCCAAAAAGCACACAGTGTTTGTTTTAAATTATGTACAGAATTTGATAAAACAACATCTGTAGTTGGAGAATTCAACATGTAGTAGGGCTGAATACCACAATGCAAAATTTAAAAGGTTTCCCACAGCCCCCATTGGGAAGAAGTGAAGGTCAAGCATTGGAGTGTGCTTGAACACCCATTAAAAAATTTTTTTAAAGGTATGCCTGACACTTGCCTACTAGAGGGTTCTCAAAAGCTGATCTAGTCAACCCTATGAAACATTTTATCTTTGTCTAATTATCCGAGAATGAGAGGCATGGGTCTAGATCTAGCACAACACATTAGGTGAAGGGATCATGTCATCTTATCAGGAGCTTCCTGACAAATTGTTAAGTCTGCCTTGTTCAGAGAAATAAGCAAACACTAGAATGGTTTTCCAATTAAAACAAGTAGAGTTCTGTGACGGGTGTGTTAAAGTCCTTTAGAATCCCACTTAAAGATTGCTCTGTGGGAACTTGCCATGCGAGAAAGGGAGGGAGGGGAAAATGTGTTTAAAGAAGAATAAAAATGGGGCAGTTGTGCATGGGCTACCAATTAGCTCATGGGTACTTTGGGGAGCATAAATTAACACAAACCCAAAGATGTGAGAGTGAGGGAAACTGCATAATGAAGCCAGATACTTCTAGGTTACCACCTTTCAAAACCTCTGTTTGAGGGTGATTGGAAACAAGTCCTCCGGTAAAAAAATTCAGATTCACAGGACTGTAGACCTTTTACTGATTGTTCAGATGACCCTCTTTCAAAGGGGTTAAATAGCCCAGTGGCTAGCCAACACAACATCAGCAACATTTTAACTATTGTAACGCTAACACTTATGAGTAATAAAAAAAAAAAAAACCTACATTTTTCATGATTAGTAAATAGAATATATACATTTATTTTGTAAACTATTGCTATGAATCAATTATCTTTATACAGAGAATTGTGGAACACAACTGCAGAATTAAATGTTGGAGCTATACCTTTAATAAAAACAAGGAGTACTTCCAATATAAATTTGAAAGAGGTTTTATTATCTCTTATAGAATCAGTTGAAAACAAATAGTATCTTTCTTCCAGAATTGCATTAAAGGGACACTATAGTCACCAGAACAACTACAGCTTATTGAATTTGATCTGGTGAGTAGAATCCTTACCTTCAGGCATTTTGCTGTAAACACTGTCTTTTCAGAAAAAATGCAGTGTTTACATTACAGCCTAGTGATAACTTCACTGGCCACTCCTCAGATAGCTGTTAGAGATCTTTCCTGGGTCACGGCTGCCTAAAATGCATCTAAACATTCTGTGTCTCCTCCCTCTGCATGCAGACACTGAACTTTCCTCATAGAGATTCATTGATTCAATTCATCTCTGTGAGGAGATGCTGATTGGCCAGGGCTGTGTTTGAATCATGCTCGCTCTGCCCCTGATCTGCTTCCTTGTCAGTCTCAGCCAATTCTATGGGGAAGCATTGTGATTGGATCAGCCTACCACTTCTGATGATGTCAGCAGACTGTCTCTTTTTCTGAGTCTAACAGCATGCAGAGTTACAGCTTCAGGTTTAAATACAGTAGGATTTTTGCTATCTTTATGGAGGCCTGAGGGGCCCAGGGGGGCTAGATGGTGGTGTTAACACTATAGGGTCAGGAATACATGTTTGTGTTCC